GTTCATTAGTTTTCGAGAAATCTTGACCACCGACTTCAAAAACATGGTTTTGAGAAAACAGCGTTCAAAGTTAGACGATATAAAATCCAAATTATTTTTCTATATTTCATCGGATTCTTTTGAAAATCATTACTCGGGGGTTTTTGGGGTCGCTAATTACGAATCCGGTGTCAGTTTTCCAAAATTCAAAATGGCGGATCCAATATGGCGGACGACTTTTTGAAAATCTAATGCAAATGGATTGAAAATCGTTACTCGGGGGATTTCGGGGTCGCTGATTACGAATCCGGTGTCAGTTTTCCAAAATTCAAAATGTTCATCCGAAATAGTTCATATATAGGGCTCGTTGGATGCGGATTTTGATAAGCATTAAAATGGCGTTTTTAAAATTATTCTAATTTTATTTGTTCGTAAGATATTTCATTTTTTATTAATTTTTATTAATTAATTAATTATTATCTCGAAAACAAAAAATAGGGTATTCTCCAAATTTGGCACATCTCTTTGGCTCATATTAAGGAATGTTCATGAATTTTTTCAACTCAAACGGAGCCCGATAGTAAGTTCAAAAATTCAAAACAAATTTAATTTTTTAAATAAATAAATTAAAAAAATTTAATTTTTTAAAATTAATTTTTTTTCTTAAACTTTAATATTTTTCTGAGCAAAAAACGTATAAGAAACTTTTTGCTAGGACTAAAAGTGAAAAATTTATGAATAATTGAAAAAAAAGTTGCACTAATTTTTTAATGAAAATATCTCGAAAAATAATAAATATTTTTTTTACTCAATTAGACCCATAACCACTACTCAAGAACGTAGTATAGAATGAATCGGAGGATAGACCCTTCAATCTCACGTGGAATTGCTTATATATATATATATATATATATATATATACAAAATTATACATTTAAAATTAATAAATATATTTTATGATTCATTCAAAATTTTAGGTTATTAAATTACAAAAAAATTAACACGCGTGCACAAGCGCGCGGCGAGTCTCGTGAATCTAAAAAATAGATTCAAAATGAAACCTCCTGCTTTTCTGTATTGCAATATTGAAGATATATAGCAATAATTATTTGCAATATATAGAAAAGTTAAATTTGAGAACCACTGAGCGCAGCTGCCGCGGCGGCGGTATCTCCGCGTTGTCTGCTCCCTCACACCCTCGCCTTTTGCGTCCCACGTGGGTGACGGTCGAAGGGGTCGCGAGGCGGAATGAGGTTGACGAGGGACGCGTCCAGGGTGTAGAGGAGAAGAGGGGGGGCGGAACAGTTAGGAGGGTGTGTGTGTGTGTGTATGTGTGTGACAACGACGACGACACGATGGCGCGCGGGTAAGGGCGAGAAGCAGTGGGATCACGACAAGAGGTGGAGAGGGGGTGGTGGGGGGGGGGTTAAAATAGGGTTGGGTGAGGAGATTCGGGTGGGTGGATTGAGGGGTAGGGGCAACTTCACACTATGCCACCCACTGACCATCTCTCTCTCTCTCTCCCTTTACCCTAACGCCTAGCTGAGCGCTACGTGTTTTCACAAAAAAAAAAAAAAATAAAGAAAGAAAGAAGATTCCGCTTGTCTCTCTTCTCAGTATCCCCTTGACGTCAGTAGAAGTGGGGTGAGGGGCGAGGTGGAGTAGAGAAAGAAGGGTGATGACACTTGTCTCTCGTCTCCTCTTTCTCCTCCACCCTTCTCCGACCTTACCTTGGTTCGTTACGATGGCGCGTTATCTTGCAAAAGAATCGTATATAAGAGACGAAGATAGAAAGAAAAAGAGAGAGAGCGAGAGAAAAAGATACTGAACTTTTCCCGCGAATTCGGTTATCGGGAAATGAGTCGAATTGGATAGTTGATGGTATAAGGGAGAACTGTAAGAGAGGGAGAGGATATGGGGGAATTTTATGAAGTCGATGCTCCACATTCGATTGATCGGCTGACTATGTCACGTGTAGTAAAAAAAATAAAATTTTTCAATTGAAAAAAAAATTCCCTTTTCCAAAATTCACCACTGGTGGAGTAACAACGGCAATTTTTGTCCTTTTTTAAATTTTTGTAACAAATAATAATAATAATAATAATAATATAAAAGAATATTTTTTTAATTTTAAATAACAGAATATTTTAAATAAACAAATTGTAATTTTAATTTGTATAAACTGTTTAGTTTATATATGAAAAATAGGGACAAAAAATAAATTTTGGGTCGATAGTTTGTAGTGAAGATGCGCGCGCGCGTTGCCAATTTGAAATTTGTAAATATGTGACGGAGTAAATATATATATAGTGTAGGAAGAAGCTCCATTAGCCAGTCAGCTGATCGGTAAAAGCGACGCTCTTTTTGTCAAGGTCGTGCCTGCCGGTGGAAAGAATGGGCGGCAAATATTTTCTAGAGAGGTTATATTGCGCATTTCGGCTAGTTGTCTCGAGAGTTTTCCCCCTCTCTTTCACTCTCATGGATTATTATCACCGTTCGTTGTATATATATGTATATAAAACGGTGGAAATGTCGCTTGCGCGTTAATCAACTCGCAGTTAGGCGCCAAACTTATTATGCAACTTCTCGACGAACACTGAGGGGGAGAGAGAGAAAGAGAGGGAACACGAGCCAAAGCACGTGTTTACAGTTGAATATACTCTACGGCTGACGTTTAATGTGGGTTTCTATGCCGAATATTATCATTATTTTCCTCCTGATACAAATTCTCTTGTTAATCGATAAAAATATTTTATAGAGTGTTATTTCACCGACGAGAATTTTCATTCGTTTATGTTTCTTTAAACAGAAAACTACATTATCAACGGCTGATATTGTATTTAGTCTTATCATTTTGCTCACGGTTGGTAAATGTTTGGGGAGTTTGGAACTTTACAAGTGGCGTACTCTGAACGAATTATCTGGAAGTAGAAAAATTTTTTTTAGTACAATGCTCTCTCAATGAGTTTTTTTTGGTGATTTCTTAACCCTTTATCTTTAAAGAACAAATGTATATAAAAATTTAACTTGCAGTCTGACAATTTTTTAAACTAACAAAACGCACTATAAAAAAATTCGCAATATATATTTCTTATCGTTCCGGAAGCGCTCTTTCAAATGGTGCATCAGAAAAATCCATAAATTAAAAAATAAAGAAATTATAGACAATTATTTACTTAAAAAAACATAGATTTTCAAGGTTTTTTTACTTTATAATATTTTTGGATAATGTGCCATTTTAAAATATCTTGTCCAGATATAAATATCACGTCAAAAATGTCTGAGCTTTCACATGGTGAGTTAGATTTAAAAAACAAATCAAAATGGCGCAACAATATTGTCGATTAAAGTATAATTTTTAATAACAAATATGCATCTAGTTGCAAAAAATTTAAAAACTCATTAAATCCACTCGAAAATCGTTACTCAAGAGTTTTCGGGGTGGCTGATTACGAATCTGAGGTCGATTTTCAAAAATTCAAAATGACGAATCCAATATGGCGGACGTCAGTGTTAAAAATTCATCGTATGCACCTGAAAATCGTTACTCGGGGGTTTTCGGGGTCGCTGATTACGAATCTGAGGTCGATTTTCAAAAATTCAAAATGGCGGATCCAATATGGTGGACTTTTTTTTAAAAAATCGTTTGGATTCTCTTGAAACTCACTATTTGGGGGTTTTCGGGGTCGCTGATTACGAACCTGAGGTCGATTTTCAAAAATTCAAAATGGCGGATCTAATATGGTGGACTGTTTTTAAAAAATCGTTTGGATTCTCTTGAAACTCACTACTTGGGGGTTTTCAGGGTCGCTGATTACGAATCTGAGGGCGTTTTTTAAAAATTCAAAATGGCGGATCCAATATGGCGGAAGTCATTGTTAAAAATTCATCGGATGCACTCGAAAATCGTTACTCGGGGGTTTTTGAGGACGCTGATTACGAATCTGTGGTCGATTTTCAAAAGTTCAAAATGGCAGATCCAATATGGCCGACGAAAACGTTGATAATTCATCAAATCCACTTGATAATCGTTACTCGGGGGTTTTCGGGGTCACTGATTACGAATCTGGGGTCGATTTTCAAAAATTCAAAATGGTGGATCCAATATGGTGGACTGTTTTTAAAAAATCGTTTGGATTCTCTTGAAAATCGTTACTCGGGGGTTTTCGGGGTCGCTGAATACGAATCTGAGGTCGTTTTTTAAAAATTCAAAATGGCGGATCCAATATGGTGGACTTTTTTTAAAAAATCGTTTGGATTCTCTTGAAACTCACTACTTGGGGGTTTTCAGGGTCGCTGAATACGAATCTGAGGTCGTTTTTTAAAAATTCAAAATGGCGGATACAATATGGCGGAAGTCATTGTTAAAAATTCATCGGATGCACTCGAAAATCGAAACTCGGGGGTTTTTGAGGACGCTGATTACGAATCTGAGGTCGTTTTTTAAAAATTCAAAATGGCGGATCCAATATGGCGGAAGTCATTGTTAAAAATTCATCGGATGCACTCGAAAATTATGACTTGGGGGTTTTTGAGGTCGCTGATTACGAATCTGAGGTCGTTTTTTAAAAATTCAAAATAGCGGATTCAATATGACCGACGAAAACGTTGAAAATTCATCAAATCCACTTGATAATCGTTACTCAGAGGTTTTTGAGGTCGCTGATTACGAATCTGGGGTAGGTTTTTAATAATTCAAAATGTAAAAAAGGAGTATCACTTAGAAGGGTTGAATTTAAGCACTGAATTTATAAATAATGCACAAAATTTAGCCTTAAATGAGCACAAATTACTGGCATATAAAAAATTTATTTCTAACAAAGTGGTTCTTGTTTTACAAACCAGAAATCACATATTTTCAATAATTTTTTATTAATCTTCTGCTTGGAAAAAAAATAAACTCAAAAGCAAATGTGTCAAAATAAATTTAAATATATTATCTAAACACAATATTATTTTCGAAAAATTGTCATTTCATTATTGATTTTTCATATAAAATTTTTTTTTTATTTCTATTACAGCCAGAACGTATACGATCGCCAACATGGTTAACAATTTTCCAAACGGGCAACAGTTTCGAGTGTTCCTCTCTTTTGGCAAGTTTACTAATTGGTCAGGGTTACAATGCCTATGTTGTGAGTGGTTACGCCTCAAGGGAACAGGTCAATTGTGATCAAACAAAAAGACCATGTCCTTTTTTGCCAAAAAAAGATGATTTATCAGCACCTGAAAAATTAATAGACACATCAAAATATCAATTAAAACCGCCACCAAATTTTCAAAGTCAATTTGAACGTGAAATGGAATTAGAGGATGAAATGGCGCTCAATGAACAACTACAAAGGGAAAAAGAAGAAAAAGAATTTGAAATTAGAGAATTTGAAAAACCACTTCCAGACGAATATCAGGGACATCGAATTCATTCGTGGGTGATAATTCTACCAGATCCTGGTGGACCTAGGGGACATGAAATTATTGAACCATTTTTTATTGAATCATCATCGGGTGTTGCGTATATGCCAAAAGATGAGGAAACAAATATTCTCTATTTGGGAGTCGAAAGTATTTGGAATGACACTAATTATTGGGTGAATATGCAAATTAACAGCAGTGGATGTCAAGAAATTAATTGGAATTTGAGTAAAGTTGAACTTTGGGAACATTTGCTACCGGGTGAACCTTGGACTATGAGAGGAATTGATGATATTGATCAGGAGGAGGATGAGGAGATTTCTATTGCACAGGAAAAACATCTCGATATGCCTGGTTCTTATGTGAATCAAATAGAAATTCATAGTCTAGGTAATAATTTAATTTGTCTTTTAACGCCAAGTGGTACATATATATGCTGTACCTTAAATTTATTGATATCATCATAACTTATAAAGAAATGTATAGGGGAAATTTTAGAACCATCCAGGGGGTTAATTCCGTAAATTTCTCACTTTTCACTATTCCAATTCCCACTATTCAATTTCTAGTTTCCATAATTTTATTTCACACCTTCTACTTTCCATATTCCATATTATTACATATTCTTTAACTTTCCCTTTTTCTATTTCCAAACTTTTTACTTTCTACTTTCCACTTCTTATTTTCTACTTTCTACTCTCCATCTTTCACTTTTAACTATTCCACCTCCTATTCTTCACTTTCCACTTCCTAATTTCTACTTTCCATCTCCTACCTTCGACTTCCTATTTTTTATTTTCCACTTCCTAATTTCTATATTTTCCATCTCCTACTTTCTACTTTCCATTTTCATTTCCTACTTTACACTTCTCATTTTCATCCTTAAACTTCACAACTTTTAACTATTCCACCTCCCACTATCGAATATCTTCTTTTCACTTCCCACCTCCTACTTTCAATATTCCGTAACTTAACGAATTTCAATTTCCCAAATTTCTATTTCCCATTTTCTACTTCCCATATTCCGTTAACTTTCCTATTTTCCACAATTTAATTTTCTATATTCCACCACCCACATTTTACAATTCCACCTCCCTCTGTCTACTTTCTACTTCCTATATTCCATATTATTCCATATTTTGTTAACTTTCCTGTTTTCCACAACTCAGTTTTCTACTTTTCACCTCTCAAATATCACTATTCCACTTCCCATTGTTCACATTCAACCTTCTACTTTCCATATTCAGTAATTTTCCCATTTTCTACTTCCCTCTCTCTACCTCCCACATTTCACAATTACACTTTTCATTTTTCATATTCCACTTTCTACTTTCAACCTCATAACTGTTAACTATTCCACCTCCCACTATAGAATTTCTTTTTTTCACCTCCCTCATTCTACTTTCCATATTCCGTAACTTTCTCATTTTCTACTTCCCTCTTTCAACCTCTCACATTTCACTATTTAACTTTCTACTTCCCATATTACTTATTCTTTCATATTCCGTAATTTTCTCACTTTTCAGGTCCTAATTCTCACTTTCATCTTTCAGGAAGTGAAAAGAGTGAAAATTTCGGAATATGAAAGAATATGGAATATGAGAAGTAGAAGGTGGAAAGTAGGAAGTGAAATGTGGGAGGTGGAAAGTGAGAAGTAGAAAATTGGGAAATTGGAAGTGGAAAAGTTACGGAATATGGAAAGTAGAAATTGAGAGGTGGAAAGTAGAAAGTGGAATGTGAACAATGGGAAGTGGAATAGTGATATTTAAGAGGTGAAAAGTAGAAAGTAGAAAATTGAGTAGTGGAAAATAGGAAAGTTAACAGAATAATATGGAATATAGGAAGTAGAAAGTGGACACTGGGAGGTGGAATATGAGACGTGGAATAGTGAAATGTAGGAGGTGGAAAGTGGGAAACAGAAAATTGGGAAAGTTACAGAAGATGGATCAGCTCTTCAAAATCAAAAATGGAGGACCTAATATGGCGGATGAATTTTTTAAATTTCATCAAATTAGCTTGAAATTGCTTACTCGCGAGGATTTTTGGGGTCCCTGATTACGAATTTAAGATCGGATTTTCAAAATTCAAAATGACGGACTAATAATAATAATTTTTTATAAAAATTATAATAATAACTATAATTTTTTAAAAACTCATTGGACTTTGAAAGTTATTACTCAATAGTTTTTAAGAGTCGCTTATTACGAATTTCAAGCATTATTTGCAATCATTTGCTTCAAATAACCGTAAATATCAAGTTTCCTTAAGGGGAGGGACCGGTGAAATTTCAGCCTACTGAAGTTATTATTGTTAAAGAGTGTCAATTTTTTTTCTGGCATAATTTAGGATCCAAAATTATTATAAATTATTAAAATTTCAAAAAAAATTTTTTTAGCCATTTTAGAAAATTTATTTTTTGGAAAAATTAAATTTCTTTAAATTTCATACGATTGATTGTTTAAAATCGTGAAAAAAGCGTAAAAAAAATTCGACAATAAAAAATAATGAAAATTGTGGAAGTAGTTGAATTTTTTCAAAATTACCACTAAAATTGAAAGCAATCAAAATTGATCTTGTTTAGGGGTAATAATTTTTTTCAACATTTTTTTTTCAACCAAAAATCTTATTCTACTGAGAAAAACAACAAAAGGTAATTTTTAACAATTTTACAAATATTTTTATTTTTCAAAATTTTCATTTTTTGAAAAAATTGAAATTTTTCAAAATCCATACGCTTGATTGTTTAGAATCATGAAACAAGCGTATAAAAAAATCGGCAGTCAAAAATAATTAAAATTGTGAGAGAAGTTTAAATTTTAAATTTTCGAGAATTTTGAATTTGATTTTAAAAATTATTAACAAATTTATAGTTTTTCAATTTTTCATGATATATTTGTGGTAAAACAAATAAATTTATTAATAAAATTAAGAAATACACTTGTTTAAAAATTAAAATGTTCAAAATAAACTCGCAGCACACTGCCTAAACCACCATCAACATTTCTCGATACATATCTCATGACATCGTCAACCATTCTGCTGTGTGAGAGCCTTTCGTCTCCTTTTACGGTCACTTACGCTTTTTAACGTAACTTAACTTATTCGACTTAACCTAATTTGCGTATCGTATAATAAAATTTAAATTTAAATTACAACATATTATACATTTAAATAATTAATATTGTCAGAAAAAAAATTGACCACCCTTAAACAGCTTTAATTTTGATGTGTTAAAATTTCAGCGGTCCCTCACCTTAAAATCCGACATTTTGAATTTGGAAAATTTGACTTCAAATTCGTAATCAGCAAATTTTTGTAAAAATTAATCAAATTTTTGAAAAACAGATTTTGAAAGACGTTATCCAAATGGAAAAAAGACAACTTTCTTCAAGAAAACAAAAGTTGAACAATTTGCTCCCTATTTCAATGAAAATGGTCTTATCGAACGAGTAACAATTTATGACGACTATGAATACACGATGCCAATTTATTGCTACGAAAAATATTCAAACAGAAAGGATAAACTAATAAAGAGCGAGAAAGATTTGGACACGAATATGATTAATGATTTTTATAAAAGAGGACGTCCTGATGCATGCAAAGGTCTTGAAAAATAAATATGAGTGATTCTCCACGAAGCGTACAATTCAATGTCTCTTGTGTTTTTTAAGAAATAAATATTGTACTAAATTCACTGTGTAAAAGTAACTTTAGTGTTTACAAACAAAAGCCTTTAATTTATAAAATTAAATATTATTTTTAAAATGCAAATTGTAAAGCCAAATCGTCATGGGGAAGCCTACCATTAATACGAAACAAAAATAAATATTTTTAACAAAATATACAATAATAAAAATAATTACTGATAACAATTTTTTATTGTCCATGTTTGTAGAATTCAGAAAAAAATTGGTTGTTAAAAAAATTTATTTTTTTATAATCTTTTCTCGATATTAACTCTTGTCCCCAGTTAAGGCGCATGAATTTTCCATAAAAATCATTAATTAGAATTTTTATTTCTACAAATTTTTAATTAATAAAATTTTCAAGATGCCGATTGTTTTCATTTGTCCGAAATCACAATTATGCGTCCGAACAAACAATCTACAGAAAGATTTCGGCACAATTTTTGAAAATTGACCAATTAGAAATTATCAAGAAAATCGTGATTGGACAATTTTAAAAATTGCTCCGAAATCTTTCTGTCGATTGTTTATTTGGTCATTTGTAGTTTCGGATAAATGAAAATTCGGCGTCTTAAAAATTGTATCAATTAAAAATTCGTACGAATAAAAATTTGGACAAATTTAAATTCGGTAATTTGGCATTTCTGTCATTTAAAAATTCGAATCAGATAAAATTCGATTGAATGAAAATTCTGTTAAATTAAAATTCGATTGAATAAAAATTCTGTTAAATTAAAATTCTTTTAATTAAAAAGTCTTGTAAAGAAAATGACTGTAGAATAAAAATTCTGCCAAACAAAAATTCGGTAGCCAAAAATTTTGTTATGAAAGAATTTGTATAAAATGAAAATCTGTCAAATTATAATTTTAAAATTGAAAAAAAAGTAATAAAAAAAATTATTATTTCTAATAAAATACTATGAAATTAGTATTTTAATGAATAATTTTTACGGGACAATCATGCGTCCCCCCCCCCCCCCAGTTTTGTGCGTCATGGTGAAGCCTTTTATAATAAAACTGTATTAATTTCATAAAGATCAAAACAAAACTTAGATATACTTTAGCAGAAGCAAAAATTAACTCTCCCAAGTAGATTCATTACGGAAGAAACTCATTTTATAATTGATTTTTTTGTGTTTATACTTTTAAAACGACAATTTTACATAAGAAATCACAGAATCGTCATGGTGAAGCCTTCACATATTTTACAGTAAATTAAATAATTATTAATATTTTCTGTTAAATAAGTGTAGTTGTATTAATTTAGCAAGTATAAATGCCGTGAATACGAAAAAGATTGAAAATTATTGATATACTAGCAAAATTAAACGCGCGCCAAATTGAGTATTTAATTGTTTGTTATAAAGAAATTAAAGATTAATATTATCAATAATAATTTAATTTAATAGAATATTATTACATATTAAATGATAATAATGAAAATTATATGTTTACAGGCCTCGGATTATACGACTTTTTCCGACTTTTTTCAAAAATACGACTTTTATCGACTTATTTTAATAAAATGCGACATTTTTTTTACATTTGAAAAAAAATGTAAATAAAATACATTTTTTTAGTATAAAATGCAGATCTTCTTCAGATCATCTTTAATCCAATTACTTAACAAATTTTGAACTAAAATGATTCTTTACTAAATTAATTATTTTTAATAATTTTAATGAAATACATCACAAATTCAATTATATCAAAATTATTTTTCAATTAAAATTTTTATGAAATTTAACAATTGTTTATAATTTAAAAAAAAAATATCACAATAAAATTGAATTATTTTTTAAAAATTTCAATTCAAAATAAACTAAAATTCAATTATAACCCGAAATTTTAATTCAAAATCAATTAAAAATCCAATAATTATCAAAAATTTTCAATTTAAAATTTAATTATTTACCAAGTTTTCAATTTAAAATGAAATAAAATTCAATTATTTTCTAAAATTTCTATTCAAAATTAATTATCCAAATTTTCAATCAAAAATGAACTTAAATTAAATTATTATCCAAAATTTCAATTAAAATTCAATTATTTCCCAAAATTTTCAATTCAAAATGAACTGAAATTCAATTATTTTCCAAATTTAAAGTTAAATAAAATTTCATTATTCTCAAAAATTTTAAATCAAAATTAATTGAATTTTCAATAATTTGAATTTAAAAACATCTAAAATTTAATTATTTCTAAAATTTTCCATCGAAAATTTTTTTTTTAAATTTAATAATTTCAATTATAACTCTAAGGAAATTCAATTATTTTTAACTATTTTAATAATATTCTTTGAAAATTCAACTAGGGTCAGTCGGGGTAAATCCGAACGGGGGGTAAATCCGAACGCTAATTATTTCAGCTTAATTAAAATTTTTAAAAATAAGTTCGATATGAGAATTTTTACCTCAGATCCTCTTGAAGAGATTCTAAGTATTATCCCATTTTTTGTTTGTTAATTAGCAACAGCATAAACAAAGATAACAAGTATTGCAAAAAAGATTGAAAATCAAAGATGACACTCTTTCAGTATTTTGTCTCGTATTTGAAGAAAAAGAAGCTAAAAATTCATTTTATTATTTATAATTGTTTGTTATGAATACTAGAACAGAAACTATATTTGATTTTTGCCTTCTGTAAAATTTTATTAATAATATCAGACCGTTCGTATTTACCCAGGAAAATTGGAAAACCGGGGTAAATCCGAACGGTATTTTCAATAATTTTTTTTTACATCAGAGCCACACAAAATTGTTTTTATTTCATTACACTATTATTTTAACATTATAAAAGTACATAGAAAAAAGGTTTTCTTTCTATACGTATCCTCGTTAGTAATTAATAAGCAGAAACTTAATCTCTGTTCTCTCGAAGGAGTGTTTCAATTTTTTTGCCAAATGGTTTGTTGAAAAAAGTTTTTCAGGATCTTAATAAAATTTGGTATTCTACGGTTTTTGGGGTCGCTAATTACCAATTTGAAGTCAGTTTTTCAAAATTCAAAATGGCGGACGAGAATTAAAAAATTCATTGGATTCGCTCGAAAATTGTTACTCGCGGGGTTTCAGGGTTAGCAAATTTGATCATTTTTAAAAATAAGTTTTAGGAAAGTCCGCCATTTTGAATTTAAAAAATTTGACTTTTATTTTTGTATTTACATTCAATCACTCCAAAATACTTTCTGTACCAAGTTTTGCAAAAATCCGTTATGATTTGATAAAGTTATTGAAGGTTTTAATTGTGTAATGCATTTTAATTTTTAACCTGTTTGATTTTTGTATTTATATATGGATGCATTATTACATAATAGGTTTATTATCGTATTTTTTTTGAGTTTTTATATAAGTTTAACAATTGCAATACTTTAAATTTATTTTCCCTAAGATTTTTCTGAAATACAGTGGCGTTCGTATTTACCCCCATATTTTAGGAAAGTTGCAAAGTATCGAGGTAAATACGAACGCTAAGTTTCCTGCGATTGTAATTTATCAAAAAAATTTTCTACCCCATAAAATTGTTCTATGGAAGTAATGTAACAACTTCATGCACCAGAATACCGGAAGTATTTTTTTTTTAAAGAAAAAACTTATGTTATTGTTGAAACTTACTAAAAGCGTTCGGATTTACCCCGGTTGACCCTATCTGAAACCATTTTTCAATTAAAAATGATTTTCAAATTATTGTATTTTGTCCTCATTTTCTAATAAATTTTTAGTGAAATCATCTAAAATTTTAATTACAAAACACTTACAGTTTCAATTAATTTCAAAAAATCTCAATTTTAAATCATTGATAATTCAATTAAATTTAAAAAATGTTTTCCAAAAATTGTTTCATAAATTATTTTTAGTTCTGTAAAATTTAATAATTGTTTGAAAATTAACAATATCTTTTGAAATTTAATTATTTCTAAAAATTTCAACTTTAACCCTTCGAAAAGGATTATTATTAAAAAAAAAAATTTTTATTTAAAAATCTGTAAAATATTTTTGTTAAAATAAAAAACAAATACACTTTTTTTTGGAATATAAATCGACTAAAACGACTTTTTGTTTCTTTAAGTTGATTCGAGGCCTGTGTTTTTATAATTATTATTTAATTGGTATTCGTTGGCCCCTGGTATCTTAAAAATAAATTTTTTTCAAATTACTATCTTGTACGAAATTTCCTGGCGCATCTTTTTTCTCATCATAAATTTTTTGTATTTGTATACAATTTTTGAATCAATATTATACAACTTTAAAAAAAATTTCGTTGGTAAACGTTGTGTATTTCAGCTTCGTGAATTGAATTTTCGAATTTGGAATTTTAAAGAAACTTATTCCGAAATTTGGAAACACAATTACACAACTTTAGCAAATTTAGGACAGAAGGACAGACCAAGCATTTTATTATTATATAATTGTTTATTATTGAAATATTGTTTAAAAAATCAGTATTAGTTGTGCGTCATGGTAAAGCCTCAGCGTCGTGGTGAAGCCTTTTTAATTAAAACGCACTAATCCTGAAGATTAGAATTTAATTTTTGTTTAATTGTAAAAAAAAATTATTAATAATAGCAATAACTAAATTGTACGTTACGTGGAAAATCACTCATATATTTATTATAAATAAATTATTATAAATAAGAATTATTTTTTTCAAAATTTAATGAATTGACATATAGAATTTACATTTTTTGCATTTTTAGTGCATCGCTATTTTTCCCAATCAAATGACAAAGTTGAAGATGAAAGGACAATCGAATTTTATAATACAGTTCGTCTCGATGGTCTTTTGAGACTTCAAATGCATCCTGAATATATGATTGTCGATTACGAGAATCGCGAAGATTTTCTTTATAAACGGTAGATAATATTAAAAAAAATTACACTGTAAAGTAATTGAATTTAAATTTTAAAAAAACTGTTTTTTAACATTTTCTTGAAATTATTTTTCAGTGAAGTTCAATATTCAACGGAATGTAATTTAAATTCTGAAAATTTAACCAATTACCGAGAAATTGAAGTGAGTCAAACTTAATAAATTTTTATTAGCAAAAAAAAAGGAAAATAAATTTTTTTTTATTTTTCACTTGAAACAATTTTAATTTCTTAAAACATAATTTATTATTATTTTTTTTTTGTAGAAAATAACAGAAACATTCCATAGAAATGAAAAAATTCCAGCTGAGGAAAATATTGCAATTAGAGAATTTGCAATTAAAGAAAATGAAATTCGACTAAAATTTCATTACAATAAAGGTCAATATACAAGAGCGACACGAACTTTTGTCAAACCGTCAGTATCTGAAAGATGTGAACGCTTTGTTTTCAAGCGAGAAATGGTTTTCGAATACAATGTAAATAATTTTATTAAATTTTTTTTTTTTGTAAATTTGTTTAAATTACTTTCTATTAACGTATTAAATTTACTCAAATTGTAATTTTCTAATCCATTTATTATCGATAGCAAGTATTATTTGAATATTTTTTAAAAAATACAACTAATTTTTCCATTTTTCAACTAAAAAATAAACTTGTTCAGCCCAATCCTATGGCGACAGAAAAAAAATCTTTGGATCTTTTCAATGAACTACAAATTCAATTGGAAGAGGAGGAGAAAAGTTGCAATCGAGTTAGAGATGCAGAAACGGAAATTAAATTTTTCATAAAAATTCAAAAAGACGAAATTTCCAAACCCAAATTGTCCGTGTCAATTTTTGACAGAAACAGAAATGAAAAAGCAAAAAATGAAATTCTAGAACAGGTTTTCAAATTTTTTTTCTTATTATTCATTTAATTTGTATCTTTCAGTTCTTTATATTTTTTATTAATTAAATATATTTATTTATGGAGCTATCTTTTTCAAAAAAGCACCCCCTCTGATGGTAAAACAGGAAAATGAAAATATAAAAATTACCGACATAGAAATCTACATTGCCGACTGATGTAAAACAGGAAAATGAAAATAATAATAATAAAATAACCGCCGCAGAAATCTACACTACCGACTGATGATGGTAAAACAAATTTCAAATTTTAAAAAAAAATTCCCCTCTTTACCACCAGTCGGTAATTTAGATTTATGTGTCGGTAATTTTTATATTTTATTTTCTTCTTTTACCATCAGTCGGTAATGTAGATTTCTATATCGGTAATTATTTATATCATCATTTTCCTGCGTTTACCATCAGTTGATAATGTCGATTTCTATGCCGGTAATTTTAACCTTGTTTTAACTCTGTATTTGAAAAAAATATTACTTTTTTCAATAATATTAAAGGTTTTTTTTAAACATTTGTGGTCCCCCATGTTTAGTATTTAAAAAGTGCCGTTCGACATCAAATAAAATAGACAAAATGATGGGTATCTTTTTGACAAAGAATGCCCCTTATAATTATAAATATATATTTATTTAATCAAAAAAAGTTTAATTTTTTCATTTTTAATTTCTTTTTTTTTTGTTTTTATTTATTAAGAATTTTTAATTTTAAGGAGAAACTGTTGAAAGCTGAAATTGAAAAAGAGAAAGAAGAAATCATTGATTTATTGGCGCCTTATGTGGAGAAATTTGGAAAACCATTAACATTTTCAAAAGAAGAAGCATTAAAAATAAAGGACGAGTTCCTTAAAGATTTTAAACAAACACAAGTTGATCGGGCCAATCGAATGCTTCATAAAATTAATCAAGGCAATCAAGAACTTCAAAAGATGCAGACTAATTTAACTCAGGTATTATTTTTTTTTTTTTTTTGAAACGCATCAATATTCGCCTTACACTGAATTTTTTGGAATTTCTACGATGTCGAAATTAATAAGGTTAAATTTTGATGTTACCAAATTTTATAAAGTAGAATTTATATTGTATTAAATTTTTATTTTGAATTCACATTTAAAAGTATTTTTATTTAACACAACTTTTTTTTTTAACTGAATTTTCATTTTAAAGAATTCCAATTTAAGCAAATTTCTATTTAACAGAATTTTGACTTCGTCGAATTTTTAAATGACAGAATTCTTATTTTTCCTAAACTTATAATTTGCCAGAATTTTTATTTCTATGATTTATCATTTGAGAGAAATTTTGAAAACCCCAAACCCACACAGCACATTATATTTCCTAAACATTTCATGAATATTTCATTGAAAGATTTGAAATATTTCAATGCAAGGTTCATGAAATGTTGAGGGAAACAGGAAAATGTCCGCCTATAAGAAATATTGCCGTGCAATTTTGCTGAAATATTACACTTTAATACTCCTGCAATATTACATATGAAGACTCTGCAATATTCAGGAAACATTTCAAAGAAAGTTAGAAACTTTTTTAAGATATGAAATCAATCGTTACTTTCTAACATGTTCAATACCTTAGGATCCTGGAAAATTAAAAACTACTGCGCAGCTGTAAAGGCCATAGAAACTGAGATCGACCAGTGCGCATCATTTAAGTGGAAATTTTCTACAATATTTTAATGAAATGTTTCAGCAAAATTACACGGCAATATTTCTTATAGGCGGACATTTCCCTAATTTCAGTAATATTTCAAGGATTTCGCATTGGAATATTTCAAAATTTCAATGAAATATTTCAGAAATATTTAGGAAATATTATGTGCTGTGTGGAAATTTTTCATTTGACTGAACAAATATCCGACAGCAAATTTTTAGCGGGAATTTTAAAATTAATAATCACAATTTTCTCGTTTATTTATGATTGGTTAATTTTAAAATTTGTACCAAAACTTTTCTGTCTGATATTTGTTCGAACATTTGCAATTTCGGTCAAATGAAATTTTGATAATTCGATAATTCTCTAAAATTTCGACTAAGTAGAAAGTCTATTAAGGCCATTCGGGAAAAATCCCTAACCTAAAAGTGTTTTCCCTTGCGAGATATTACTCGTAAATAACTTGAAATATTTTGTTCGGATTTGTCGGATTAATTGGATGAGGGCGAGCTGATTAAGAATCATCTCCATTTTGACAAGTAATATTGTAAAAAAGTATTGAAAATCGTGGTTATAAAAGTTGGATTTTTGACAGAAGTGGGGATAGACATTGAATCTATGTGGCGCCAATTTCTAGCTAGTGGCCGATGCTGAACTAACATAACCCAAATTACTCCACTTTAAATCTTTAATAAAATAATTTCCTAACAATATTATTGCAAAAATGGAGAAGAGCCCCACTCAGTGACCCTTCCTCTGTTATTCCTCCAAATGCCAACTCGAAATAATTTATCCTTTAAAGATGAGAAGAAATTTACGAAACCCCTTTTTGCCAATGTTTAAACAAACATTTTCTTCAATAATTATTTATCAAGATTATGCAAAATTCCGAGAAAAGCCCATGGCAGGGTACCTTCATCTATTATTTCCAAAAAATTACAACCTAAAATATTCTATTTTTTTCAAATGAGAAGAAATCTACAAAACCATTATTTTCTCCCGCATGCCCTTAAAAGAAAATTCAGCCAAATAATAATTTGTTTAAGGGCATTTGGGAGAAAATAATGGTTTTGTAGATTTCTTCTCATTTGAAAAAAATAGAATATTTTAGGTTGTAATTTTTTGGAAATAATAGAGGAAGGTACCCTGCCAGGGGCTCTTGTCGGAATTTTGCATAATCTTGATAAATAATTATTGAAGAAAATGTTTGTTTAAACATTGGCAAAAAGGGGTTTCGTAAATTTCTTCTCATCTTTAAAGGATAAATTATTTCGAGTTGGCATTTGGAGGAATAACAGAGGAAGGGTCACTGAGTTCATCACTCTTCTCCATTTTTGCAATAATATTGTGAGGAAATTATTTTATTAATGATTTAAAGTGAAGTAATTTGGGGTAAATTAGTTCAGCAGCGGCCACTAGCTAGAATTGGCGCCACCTTCTGGGCCACTGACACATAGATTCAATGTCTGTCCCCACTTCTGTCAAAAATACAACTTTTATAACCACGATTTTCAATACTTTTCAATAAAAGTACTTGTAAAAATGGAGATGATTCTTAATCAGCTCGCCCTCATCTAATTAATCCGACAAATCCGAACAAGATATTTCAAGTTATTTACGAGTAATATCTCGCAAGGGAAAACACTTTTAGGTTAGGGATTTTTCCCGGATAGCCTTAAATAAATAAAAAAAATTTCGAATTATCAGAAAATTAAATTTTTAAAAGTTCGATTTATGAATAATAGAATTATTAAAGGTTTGAATTATTAGAAAATCAAAATTTCAAAAGTTTGACTTAATATCAAATTTCTAAAATTTCGCGAATTACAAAAATATCGAATTATTAAAAGTTCAAATTATCAGAAAATCAAATTTTCAAAAGTTCGGTAAATGAAAAAATAGAATTGTTAATAATTTGAATTATCAAAAGTTTGAATTACAAAAAAGATGAAATTTTTAGAAATTCGAATTATCAGAAGATCAAAATTCTAACAATTCGAATTATCAGAGGATCGAATTTCTTAAAGTACGAATTACCCAAAGATAGAATTTCTAAAAGTTCGAATTAAATAATTTTTTATTTTAGAAATACAATCTTTTAGTAAGTCTTTTAATATAACACAGTCACACAAAAAGTAAAATGTGGTTTGGCCGAGACACTACACTAGTCTATTTTCATGTATTTTTTCACGCTGAATCCGAATCCGAAGTCAGAATTATCAGATTGGGTTTTATTTTTGAGATAAACTCAAAAAACTGCTCAGAACGAAAAATAAAATCAAAAAGTTAAAAAATTTTTGAATGTCACTGCGATAGTGTAATTCCATGTTTTTTTGTCGCTGAATCCGAATCCAAAGTCAGAATTGTTAGATTCGCTCAAATTTTTGAGATAATTGCAAAAAAACTGATTTTGAGTATTTTAAGTTTTTTGTTACTTGCGTTTTTTTGCAATAATCTCAAAAATTTGAGCGAATCTAACAATTCTGACTTTGGATTCGGATTCAGCGACAAAAAATACATGGAATTACACTATCGCAGTGACATTCAAAAATTTTTTAACTTTTTGATTTTATTTTTCTTCCTGAGCAGTTTTTTGAGTTTATCTCAAAAATAAAAGCCAATCTGATAATTCTGACTTCGGATTCGGATTCAGCGTGAAAAAATACATGAAAATAGACTAGTGTAGTGTCTCGGCCAAACCACATTTTACTTTTTGTGTGCCTGTGTAATTTTTTAAATTTCTTTTTAAACTCAAATTATTTAATTTCAGTTATAATACAATTTTGATTATTATTATATACCAAATTATGATTATGTATACATAATTTAATCTTAATTCAAAATTTCTTAAAAAAAAATAATTTCTTTTTTTTTGCAATGCAACTTTTAACTTTTAACTTTAAAATATGAAATAATAATTAATTTTTATCAATTAATAATAGGACGAAGATATATCTATAGAAGAAAGGGAAAATCTTCGAGGGCAAATTGACGAAATGAACATTTATCTTCTTACACTGGAGGAGAGATTGGAGCGACATGAAAAATTAATTCCTGAAAGATACAAAAAAATGTTAACCATCATTGAAGAAGACGTGAGATTTTCTGTCTTGCAAAGATTACAAACACCGAAATTTAATAATTAAAAATTATTAATTAAATTATTAATTAAAAATTAATTAAAATTATTAATAAAAATTACAGAATATAATACTTTCTTTTTTTTCTTTATTACTTTAAATTTAAATACAAAATTCTTTATTTTAAAATGTGAATTTTTGTTTTTACAATTTTTTATTGGAATGACCAGGAACCCATTTGTCCGATGCAGCGTCCTGCAAAAAGAAGAAAAAATAATTTTAAAATTAATAAAAAAATAATAATAAACATTTTAATAATTTATAAAAAATGATTTATTATTTTATATGTTTTGTCTAAAAATGAATGAATTATATATATATATTTACCTTCATCATCAAATGTTGCCAGAGTGAATTTACTGAGTTTATTCGTGAAACTTCCAACGTTTGCAACAATAGATCCATTTTGAATTCGATTGAGATTTTCATTATTGGATTCAATTTTTTGATTTTCCTCAATGAATCCTGATATTAAAGTGTCCATCATAATTGCCTGTTGGAAGAATTTTGTTTTTTAATTTAATTTATTTATATATTTGTTCTATATCAGAGTAAAAAATCCCTAAAATATTTAATTTTTGAACTTTTTTCATTTTTTTCAAAAATGCATTTATTATTAATTCAAAGAAATGTCAACAAAACTATCAAAACTGATATTGAAAAAATTTCTATTTTTTTTAATTGAATGTTCAAAATTTTTAATTATCAAAAAAAAAAAAAAATTAATGGGGCGGTTCAAATACTACACAATTAAATTCTACATCGTTAAAACCCTACACGTCAAACTCTACACAGTTAAATTGCACACCGTTAAACCTTATACAATTTATTTTTTAAATTCTACACACTTAATGTGTACAATGTTAAACTCTACACAAATTTATTTTGTAGTGAAAAATTAATTTCTTTAAATTCAACACGGTTAAATACCACAACGTTAAACTCTACATATATTTCTTTTGTAATAAAAAATTAATTTTCTTAAATTTAACACAGTTAAATTCCACATCGTTAAATTCTACACATATTTATTTTGTAATGAAAAATTAATTGCATAAAATTCTACACAGTTAAATTGTTCACCGTTAAACTCTCCATAAATTTATTTTGTATTATAAAATAAAATTTGTTTAACTCTACACAGTTAAGTTGCATATTGTTAAACTCTACAAAAACTAATATTATAATATAAAATTAATTTTAATAAATTCTACACCGTTAAATTGCACACCGCCAAACTCTTCATAAATTGATTTTATAATAGAAAATAAAATTGATTAAATTCTACACAGTTAAATTGCTCACTGTTAAATACTAAAGAATTTATTTTTTAAATTCTGCACAGTTAAATTCCACCTCGTTAAATTCTACACAGATTTATTCTCTAATGAAAAATTAATTGCATAAAATTCTACACAGTTAAATTGTTCACCGTTAAACTGTCCACAAATTTATTTAATAATAGAAAATAAAATTTGTTGAACTCTTCACAGTTAAATTAAACACACTTAAACTCTACACACATTAATCTTATAATATAAAATTAATTTTATTAAATTCTACACAATTAAATTACACACCGTTAAACTCTTCACAAAATTTAATTTAAAAAAAATAAAAATTTATTAAACTGTACCCCGTTAAATTGCACATTGCTAAACTCTAAACGATTTAGTTTTTAAATTCTAAACAATTAAATGCTACAATGTAAAATTCTACACAAATATATTTCGCAATTAAAAATTAATTTCGTTAAATTCTACATAGTTAATTTCCACACTGTTAAACCATGCACAAATTATTTTTTAATTGTACACAATTAAATTGTACAATGTTAAACTCTACGCAAATTTATTTCATAACAAAAAATAAGTTTTGTTTAATTCTGCACAGTTAAATTGCACACCGTTAAACCATATACAATGTATTTTTTAAATTCTATACATTTCAATTGTACAATGTTAAACTCTGCACCAATTTATTCTTTAGTGAAAAATTAATTTTGTTAAATTCTACACAAATTTATTTTGTAAATGAAAAATTAATTTTGTTGAATTCTACACAGATAAATTCCACACCGTTAAACTCTTCACAAAATTTAATTTTAAAAAAATATAAAATTTATTGAACTCTACACAGCTAAATTGCACATTTTTAAACTCTAAACAATTTAGTTTTTAAATTCTACATAATTAAATGCTACAATGTAAAATTCTACACAAATTTATTTCGCAATTAAAAATTAATTTTGTTAAATTCTACATAGTTAATATCCACGCAACGTTAAACATCAGACAAATTATTTCTTAAATTGTACACAATTAAATTGTACAATGTTAAACTCTACGCAAATTTATTTAAAAAAAAAAAAAAATCCGCCATTTCAAGAAAATTGTTACTCGGGGGTTTTTTGGGTCGCTGATTACGAATCTGATATCAGACTTTCAATATTTAAAATGGCGGATCCAATATGGCGGATGATTATTTAAAAATTTGGATGCATTTTCTTGCAACCTGATTATTGGGAGGTTTTCGGGGTTGCTAATTACGAATCTAATGTTAGTTTTTCAAAATTCGAAATGGCGGATTTTTTTTTTTTTTTAAATAAATTTGCGTAGAGTTTAACATTGTACAATTTAATTGTGTACAATTTAAGAAATAATTTGTCTGATGTTTAACGTTGCGTGGATATTAACTATGTAGAATTTAACAAAATTAATTTTTAATTGCGAAATAAATTTGTGTAGAATTTTACATTGTAGCATTTAATTATGTAGAATTTAAAAACTAAATTGTTTAGAGTTTAACAATGTGCAATTTAGCTGTGTAGAGTTCAATAAATTTTATATTTTTTTAAAATTAAATTTTGTGAAGAGTTTAACGGTGTGGAATTTATCTGTGTAGAATTCAACAAAATTAATTTTTCATTTACAAAATAAATTTGTGTAGAATTTAACAAAATTAATTTTTCACTAAAGAATAAATTGGTGCAGAGTTTAACATTGTACAATTGAAATGTATAGAATTTAAAAAATACATTGTATATGGTTTAACGGTGTGCAATTTAACTGTGCAGAATTAAACAAAACTTATTTTTTGTTATGAAATAAATTTGCGTAGAGTTTAACATTGTACAATTTAATTGTGTACAATTAAAAAATAATTTGTGCATGGTTTAACAGTGTGGAAATTAACTATGTAGAATTTAACGAAATTAATTTTTAATTGCGAAATATATTTGTGTAGAATTTTACATTGTAGCATTTAATTGTTTAGAATTTAAAAACTAAATCGTTTAGAGTTTAGCAATGTGCAATTTAACGGGGTACAGTTTAATAAATTTTTATTTTTTTTAAATTAAATTTTGTGAAGAGTTTAACGGTGTGTAATTTAATTGTGTAGAATTTAATAAAATTAATTTTATATTATAAGATTAATGTGTGTAGAGTTTAAGTGTGTTTAATTTAACTGTGAAGAGTTCAACAAATTTTATTTTCTATTATTAAATAAATTTGTGGACAGTTTAACGGTGAACAATTTAACTGTGTAGAATTTTATGCAATTAATTTTTCATTAGAGAATAAATCTGTGTAGAATTTAACGAGGTGGAATTTAACTGTGCAGAATTTAAAAAATAAATTCTTTAGTATTTAACAGTGAGCAATTTAACTGTGTAGAATTTAATCAATTTTATTTTCTATTATAAAATCAATTTATGAAGAGTTTGGCGGTGTGCAATTTAACGGTGTAGAATTTATTAAAATTAATTTTATATTATAATATTAGTTTTTGTAGAGTTTAACAATATGCAACTTAACTGTGTAGAGTTAAACAAATTTTATTTTATAATACAAAATAAATTTATGGAGAGTTTAACGGTGAACAATTTAACTGTGTAGAATTTTATGCAATTAATTTTTCATTACAAAATAAATATGTGTAGAATTTAACGATGTGGAATTTAACTGTGTTAAATTTAAGAAAATTAATTTTTTATTACAAAAGAAATATATGTAGAGTTTAACGTTGTGGTATTTAACCGTGTTGAATTTAAAGAAATTAATTTTTCACTACAAAATAAATTTGTGTAGAGTTTAACATTGTACACATTAAGTGTGTAGAATTTAAAAAATAAATTGTATAAGGTTTAACGGTGTGCAATTTAACTGTGTAGAGTTTGACGTGTAGGGTTTTAACGATGTAGAATTTAATTGTGTAGTATTTGAACCGCCCCAAAATTAATACCTGTTTAGAAAAAACTTGTAGAATTTTATAAACTTGAGTTCCATTTTCCCGAACGGAAAACTGAAGGAAAAGACAAGGCAAACAATCGGAATTTCCCTCATCAGAAGGTTTTGCCATTTCCCAACTTAATTCCGAATACTTCAGTCCGAGTAGAAGGCTCTGAAAATAATAATTTTCAAAATTTTCATTGATATTTGAAAAAAAATGCATTTCCATTTATTAATTTTTAAAACTGTTAAAATATAAAAAACAATAAAATTGAAAATAATAAAATTTTAATCAACATGTTTGAACTAAATTTTTAAAAATTAGAAATATGATTTTCCCATCTATGATCCGTCTATGATGCGCCTCTTAAATATGTTTTATCGACTGAACATAGATTGGAAACTCTCACACAAAAATGTGCATAGAATTCTAATTAATTTTTAATAAAAATATTTCTCTCTCTCTGTGTCTCTCTCTTAAGTGTGACAACTTACACATTGTGCATCGTCGACAATATAAACGCCATTCGTATTAATGGCAATTAAAACCGGAAGATCACGATTTGTAATCCATGATGCTAAACCACGAACTGGACATTCGATTTGACCTTGAAAAAATGCTGCACCATAACTCGGTAAACCCCAACAAAATTCCAAATATTTTCTCATAAGTTTACGTGTATTTGTATTCATTCCCGTGTGATTTGGAATTTTTTTATATTGTTCCAAAAGTCTTGCCTCGGGTGCACCTTTACCACCGACAAGACCCAAACCAAAACCGAGGCCTAATAAAAAATTTGGCGAATTATAATGATGAGGAAGAAATCGTCCTCTGTGCTTTCGAAAAAAGGCCAATGTGTGCGTTTGTGAATTATAAGGTCCCAATTCAATGCGAGCCTGTAATGCTCCTAGGCTCGCGTATCTTGCCTGACCCTCACAAGGACATCTTCCTGAAAAAAAGATGGAAAAATTTTTCTTTAATTTTACATATTTTAAAATATGATCAATTAATTTTAAATGTTCTTCCTTACCGACATTACCCTTTGTGGCGTATGGTGTAACTTATACACCACACTGTAAAGTCGGTAAAGAAGAATTTTTAAATTATCTTTTTCCTTATATTAAATCATAGTTTTACCTTCGAAAACGTTATGTTATGTTTACCAAACGGTAAAGTCGGTAAGTCGGTAAAGAAGACAATTAAAATTAATATGCTTTTTTGTAGTAAATAATGGTTTCATATTTTTCAAAACGCTGTGTTATGTTTACAAAACGCTCAAGTCGGTAAAGAAGAATTTTTAAATTAAGAAACAGTAAAGTCGGTAAGTCGATAAAGAAGAATATTTAATTTAATTTACTTTTTACATTTATTAAATCATTGTTTTACCTTCCGAGACATTAGTTTATATTATTTTTACCTAACGGTAAAGTCGGTAAAGAAGAATGTTTACATTAGTTGACTTTTTTATATTAAATTATGGTTTTACCCTCCAAAATGTTATGTTTACAAAACCGCAAAGTCGGTAAGTCGGTAAAGAAATTTTTTTTAATTAATTGGCTTTTTTCTTATATTAAATCGTGGTTTTACCTTCAGAAACATTATGTTATGTTATGTTTACGAAACGGTAAAGTCAGTAAAGAAGCAAATTTATATTAATTGGCTTTTTTCCTTATATTAAATCGTGATTTTACTTTCAAAAACTTTATACTATGTTATGTTTACGAAACGGTAAAGTCGGTAAAAAAGAAATTTTAAATTAATTTACTTTTTTAAATTAAATCTTGGTTTTGTATTTTTTTAAACGTTATGTTTACGAAACACTTAAGTCGGTCAGATGGTAAAGAAGAATTTTTAAATTAGGAAACGGTAAAGTCGATAAGTCGATAAAGAAGAATATTTAAATTAATTTGCTTTTTTCTTATTTTAAATCATTGTACTGCCTTAAAAAACTTTATGTTATGTTTTGTTTACGAAAAGTTAAAGTTAGTAAGTCGGTAAAGAAGAATTTTTAAATTAATTGGTTTTTTCTTATATTAAATCGCGGTTTTACCTTCAGAAACATTATGTTATATTATGTTTACGAAACGGTAAAGTCAGTAAGATGGTAAAGAAGAATTTTTAAATTAAGAAACGGTAAAGTCGGTATGTCGATAAAGAAGAAAAATTTAAATTAATTTGCTTTTTTAAATATTAAATTATAATTTTACCTTCTAAAACGTTATGTCTGGCTTCGGCGTAAAGCAATTCGAGAATTTTTGGCTCTTTTATTTGTTCCTCGTCGTGTCTTGTTAAAAAAACATTCCTTCGAAAATAAAGTACAGGCTCCTCGTCTTCTTTTCCACTTTGAGATCCGTGCTTAGCAACTAATTTTCGCCATTTTCCCGCTAATTCCAAAGGCCTACAAAATTTAATTAAAATAGTAATATAATAATTTATAAAATAATAATAATAATAAAACTGATAAAATAAAGAAAACTACATTTTTTTTTAACCAAAGCACAAAAAATAACTTTTTCTTGAACAAAAAAAGAAAATATTTTAAAATATAAAATAAACAAATTTTCATTCTAACTGACCTATGGGAAGGTTTCAATTGAACCTCCAATTGTGAGGAACAGAGCCAAAGTGCAAAAACCGGTTGTCCAGCAATTGGTGGCGATCTCATTAATCCCAACTCGCTATCCGATTGAATGATATTAATAATTTGTTGAGATGTGGCATTTTTTTCAACATCCATTGTCAATACAACATCTGACATTAAATAAACTGCGACACAAACTGTCGATGATCGAGTTTTAGATCCAGATAAAGTATTTGCTAAAGAAGAAGAAGAAGAAGAAAATATTTTTTTAATTTCAAACAAAAATCAATATAATTTATAAATATTTTAAATATAGAAAATTAATTTTGTTATTTATTTATTATTTTTTTTTCTTTTGAAGAAACTCACGTGGTGAGGGATCATTTTGATAACGACGAACAACTCGTCTTGTTCTCGAATCTTCTTGTGATTCCATTTTTTGAAAATTCTCAATTTTCCAATATATTTGATTATGTTAAGTGAAGAAGAACTCATCGAATAATGAATTTTTCTCATTTGCACTTGATGATTTCATGGTAAATTTCTTTGAAGACTATATAACATGTGAGCCGAAGGGGATGATTATTGATTTTTTATAGTTCGCTTGTTGACAGGCGAACTGCGCTTTCAAAGAGCCGCGATTTTTCAATTTTTTTTTTATATTTATTATAAAATTATTTTTTTTAACAATAAATAATCATCATTTAATAAATTTAATACTTTTAAACTTTGAAAAACATTTCAAAAAAAAAAAAAATATATAAAATTTTGACAATTCTTTTTCTCATTTTTACCAAAGTTGTATAATTGTGTTTCCAAATTTCGGAATAAGTTTCATTAAAATTCCAAATTCGAAAATTCAATTCACGAAGCTGAAGTACACAACGTTTATCAACGAAATTTTTTTTAAACTTGTATATTGATTCAAACATTGTATACAAATACAAAAAATTTATGATGAGAAAAAAGATGCGCCAGGAAATTTCGTACAAGATAGTAATTTGAAAAAAATTTATTTTTAAGGTACCAGGGGCCAACGAATACCTATTAAATATTAATTATAAAAACACAGGCCTCGAATCAACTTAAAGACACAAAAAAGTCGTTTTATTCGATTTATATTCCAAAAAAAGTGGATTTGTTTTTTATTTTAACAAAAATATTTTACAGATTTTTAAATAAAAATTTTTTTTTAATAATCCTTTTCGAAGGGTTAAAGTTGAAATTTTTAGAAATAATTAAATTTCAAAAGATATTGCTAATTTTCAAACAATTATTAAATTTTACAGAACTAAAAATAATTTATCAAATTTTTGGAAAAAATTTTTTAAATTTAATTGAGATTTTTGAAATTAATTGAAACATTAAGTGTTTTGTAATTAAAATTTTAGATGATTTCACTAAAAATTTATTAGAAAATGAGGACAAAATACAATAATTTGAAAATCATTTTTAATTAAAAAATGGTTTCAGATAGTTGAATTTTCAAAGAATATTATTAAAATAGTTAAAAATAATTGAATTTCCTTAGAGTTATAATTGAAATTATTCAATTTCAAAAATTTTAGAAATAATTAAATTTTAGATGCTTTTAAATTCAAATTATTGAAAATTCAATTAATTTTGAATTCAAATTTTTGAGAATAATGAAATTTTATTTGATTTTAAATTTTGAAAATAATTGAATTTCAGTTCATTTTGAATTGAAAATTTTGGGAAATAATTGAATTTGAATTGAAATTTTGGATAATAATTTAATTGAAGTTCATTTTTGATTGAAAATTTAAATAATTAATTTTGAATAGAAATTTTAGAAAATAATTGAATTTTATTTCATTTTAAATTGAAAACTTCGTAAATAATTAAATTTTAAATTGAAAATTTTGGATAATTATTGGATTTTTAATTGATTTTGAATTAAAATTTCCGGTAATAATTGAATTTTAGTTTATTTTGAATTGAAATTTTTAAAAAATAATTTAATTTTATTGTGATATATTTTTTAAAAATTATAAACAATTGTTAAATTTCATAAAAATTTTAATTGAAAAATAATTTTGATATAATTGAATTTGTGATGTATTTCATTAAAATTATTAAAAATAATTAATTTAGTGAAGAATCATTTTAGTTCAAAATTTGTTAAATAATTGAATTGAAGAAGATCTGAAGAAGATCTACATTTTATATTAAAAAAATGTATTTCATGTACATTTTTTTTCAAATGTAAAAAAAAATGTCGCATTTTATTAAAATAAGTCGATAAAAGTCGTATTTTTGAAAAAAGTCGGAAAAAGTCGTATAATCCGAGGCCTGTAAACATATAATTTTCATTATTATCATTTAATTTTTTTGTTGAATCAACAAAATTTTGGTTGTTCCAATTAAACTTTAGTTAGGACAACAAAAATCGTTTTTTTCTAATTTTGGTTGTGTCAAACAAATTTTGGTTGAGACAATTAAAATTTTGTTAATTTAACAAAACAATTTTGTTTGCTTAAATACCAACCAAACGTTTGGTTGTCAATACCAAACCCTTTTTTCAGTGCTATTTTTCACAAATTACGTAATTTTCTTCCTTTAAAAGGTAATATTTGCGGGTTTTTTTTTTAAGTTGTTATTTACGTTCCCAGGCTTAATTTCATGCAGCAGAAAAAAATTTAGATAAGCTTTAAACGCATGAAACTGACTTGTCCCATTTACCCCAAAATTTAGAAAATTTCATAAAATCAAAAATTCAAGTGAATTTCTGTTATGGGAGTCATAAGGAATAAGAAAAAAATTTGGTATGATTTTTAAGTTTCTTACACTGATTATTTATTTGTATTAAATATAATTATTATTTAAATTAGTTTTTTCTTTAAAAAAAAAAGAACTAAAAACTGTTGTGAAAAATGTATTTTTATTTAAAGCAATTAATAACATATCGAGAATATTTTTACAATATTTTACAAGACAGAATTATCATGGAATTAAAAAAAAAAGAAAAAAAAATCGTAACCTTAATTTTTATACTCAAAGTATAAATCTTATATTTCTATAAAGTCACTAACTATTCTTTTATTATTAAACATAATAATTAATATTAAGTTAAATTATTATAGTGAGAAAAAAAAGAAGTAATAGTAAATATATAGGAATAGATCTTAATCGATAGCGCAATTTAAACTAAATACATTTAATTAAATTAGATCGGCGACATTCATTGGCATTTCATCAATTTGCGTTGAATAATATTGTTCAATATCACGCAAAATTCTTATGTCATCAGTTTTAACGAAATTTATCGAGACACCTTTCCTGCCAAATCGTCCTGAACGACCAATTCGATGAATGTATAATTCACGATTATTTGGAAGATCGTAATTAATAACAAGAGAAACTTGTTGTACGTCTATTCCTCGTGCCCAAACATCAGTAGTGATCAACACTCGGCTGTAATTTAAAAAAAAATGTAATTCATAAAATTATTTTATTTTATTCGTAATGTATCAGAGTTGTCACAAAATTTTCATTATAATTTCTCTGTTTTTTCATTTTTTTTTTTCATTTTCATTGTATAATGAACAATTCAAATTCTTAAAAAAAAATTCAATTACATATTTTCAAAAGTTTTTATGAAATTTGAATTAAATATAATTATTTTAATTGAATATTTTCGAAAATTCAATTATTTCCAAAAAATACAAATAATTTGTACCAATAAAGTTTTTCATACTTTTAAATATTTTTCATATATTCAATTGAAATTTTTTAAAAATTTAATCATTAATAAAAAATTGGACTGCTTAATTTAAAGAATTTAATTCATTAAAACAAATTTAACAAAAATTTTTCGAAATTTCAATTATTTGAAAAAATTTTTAATTTAAAATTCTCTAAAACTCAATTATTGTTAGAAATTTGAAAAAAAATCTTCAGTAATACAAATTTTACAAAATCAATTTCAAATCATCTAAAATTCAATTAATTCTAAAAATCCTAATAGAAACTATTTATTAAATTTTAATATTTCAACATTTTTTTTTAAATTTGAGGCAATAATTAAATTCTACAGAATTTTTAATTAAAAAAAAGTTTTTAATAATTGCTTTTTTGAAAAACTTGATGGAAATTTTTATTAATTATTAAATTTGTAGAGTAAGGATTTTCCCTTCCGGAATGTTTAATAAAAAGTTGAGAAAAATTCGATCCTTGGAAGGAATGAAATAACATAAAAGTTGTATGTTATTAATATTGTTTATTGTTACAAAACAAGAAACGACGTTTCGATGACTTGGTTCGTCATCATCTTCAGGTTAAGTTTACAAAAAATTAATTGAACCGTTACATCTTAGCGTTAAAATTTTATTTTGCCCAGACTATGCTGGCACGTCAGGTTTATAGATCTAAGATGTAACGGTTCAATTAATTTTTTGTAAACTTAACCTGAAGATGATGACGAACCAAGTCATCGAAACGTCGTTTCTTGTTTTGTAACAATAAACAATATTAATAACATACAACTTTTATGTTATTTCATTCCTTCCAAGGATCGAATTTTTCTCAACTTTTTATTAATTATTAAATTATTATTAAGCTTAGATTTTTGTAAATAATTGAATTTCATGTGATTTTTAAATTGAAATTTTCGGTAATTTTATTTGTCGATATTGTTCCTTTTTTATTTAGAAATTTCCAAAAATCATTGAAATTTTAAACATATTTAATTGAAAAATATTTACAGACTATTGAATTTTTGAAGAATTTTATCTAAATTATTGAAAATAATTAATTAAGCAAAAAATTTTAGTTAAAAATTTGTTAAGTTAACAAATTTTGGAAGAGCTGCATTGTATACTAAAAAAAAAGTTGTATTTTATTTGAAAATTTTATTAAAAAAATGTAATAAAATTAAAAAAGTCGCATCTGATTAAAATTAGTCGAAAAAAGTCACATTTTTGAAAAAAGTTGGAAAAATCTTATATTAAGATTTAAATTTAAAAAAGTACTTTTTTGAAATTGGAAATAAATTAAATTACTTTTAATTTAATTTTTAAAAAATTTTTTAATTATTTTTTTCTATTTTTATTTCTATTTATTTAAATATGATACGTTTAATGATAGAGTAGAATTTTTTTTTATTATTGAAATGTTAATTAAATATTAATTAATTAATTAATTACCTTTGTCCAGATCGAAATTCCTTCATGATATTGTCTCTCTCTTTTTGCGGCATATCACCGTGCATCGAGCAAACAGTGAAATTTGCTTCTCGCATTTTTTCCGTGAGCCAATCAACCTTACGTTTAGTATTGCAGAAAATTACTGCCTGTGTTATGGTCAATGTATCATAAAGATCGCAAAGTGTGTCAAATTTCCATTCCTCACGTTCAACGGCGACGAAAAACTGTTTAATTCCTTCAAGAGTCAATTCATCACTGAAAATTTTTTAAAAATTCAAAATATAATTTAAAACAAAATCACTTAAATTTTCTCCAACGATGTTTTTTAAGGCTATTTTTCCCTTTCAAATCATGCACTGAGATTCAAAATCATGTTTCATACGATTTTTATTGTTTTCTAGCTTAAATAAAGAAACACGTATTTTTTTGTTTGGTGAAAAAAACTTTTTTTAAAAATAAAAATCGTATGAAACATGATTTTGAATTTCAAAATATTTTCACTGCATGATTTGAAATGGAAATAGCCCTAAGTATTTAAAAAAAAAAACTTTCATTTAATTTAAATTACAAAAAGCAACTTATTTTTTTTTTGAATTTAACGAAATTTTCTTTTTTTAATTTAATTTTCTTTTAATTAAAATTTTGTATTTCAGATTTTATAATCGATTAGAATATATAGAAATAAATAAATTGTTTTCAGTGGAAACACAAATCAAGGATATAATTACCGTTTAACGAGAATCCTAATAGGATCAGTCATGAATTTTGAAGTCATTTCTAAAATTTCATGGGGCAAAGTTGCAGAAACAAGAACAACTTGTGTCGCTGGTGGTAAATATCGATAGACGTCATAGATTTGTTCCTTAAATCCTTTGTTTAACATTTCGTCGGACTCGTCAAGAACGAGCATTTTAATTGCCCGTGTTCTTAGTACACGTCTTTTAATCATATCTGAAAAAGACAATAGAATACAATTTAATTTCATTTGAAATCAAATTTTTGATACATGATCAATAAAATAAAAAATTAATTCTTAAACATCAAATTAATTTTATAAATTCTTTCAATAATTAAGAATAATTATTAGAATAAAATTTCAAACTTAAATTCAGTAAAACATTTCCATTTTTCAAAAAAAAAAAATTTTAGAATTATTCTAAAATTTAAATTGAAGAAACAATTTTTGGAGATGAAATCAAAATATTTCAATTTTAAACAGATTTATTAAGAATTCTCAAAACAATTTGCAGAATATTGTTCAGACAAATATTTAAATAGTCTAATTTAAAAATAATATTTCAAAAATCTTAAATATTTATTTAATCAAATAAGTAAAATTATCTTTAAATATTTAATCAAATTATTGAAAAAAATTTCAAATATTCAATTAAATAATAGAAACTATTTTTAATAATTCAATTAAATTATTATTAAAATTATATTTAATTATTCATTTCGATAATTGAAATGATCTCCAACTTATTATTATCATTAATTGTTATTATTTTATTGTTAAAATAAAGAATTTTTTCTTTTTTAAATAAATTAAAATTAAAAAGAGACAAAAAATAGAAATTCTGTTTTTTTTAATAAATAAAAGAAAAACTGAACAATAACATAATAAGAATTTTGAATGAAAAAAAAGAATTCGATTTTTTTTTCTCGAAAAATATTAAACTTACCAAAAACTCTTCCGGGTGTTCCGGAAACGACATGTTGTCCATAGTCGAGTCTTCGGATATCCTCGCCAAGATTAGTTCCACCAATGCAAACGTGACATTGAACGCTCATAAAATTACCCAAAGCGAGAACGACTTTTTGAATTTGTGTCGCGAGTTCTCGAGTTGGTGACAATACGAGAACTTGTGTTTCACGAACTTGAATATCGAGCGACTGTAAAATTCCAATTGAAAATGTCGCTGTTTTTCCTGTACCCGATTGTGCCTGAGCAATTACATCTCTACCCTTCATTATTGGCTTTATTGCTCTTTGTTGAATTGCCGAAGGTTTCTCGAAACCTGTAAAACAACAATTGAGGCATTTTTTTTAAAAAAAGAAGAAAAAAAATTTCTATAAAATAATTTATTTTTAAGGGACGCATTAATAATCCCCACACTAAAATTTTTGGGGCGAATGAATTTCCCATAAAAATCATTAATTAGAATTTTTAAAGAATTTTATTAGAAATAATTATTTTTTAGACGAATTTTTAATTTTCGAATTAAAATTTGATAGATTTTCAATTTATATGAATTTTTACGTAACAAAATTTTTATACCGAATTTTTGTTTGGTAGAATTTTTATTTTACAGTCATTTCATTTACATGACTTTTCATTTAAAAGAATTTCAATTTAAGCCAATTTTAATTTAACAAAATTCTCATTCAATCGACTTTTATGTGATTCGTATTTTTTAATGACAGAAATTTCATTTCACAGAATTTTAATTTGTCCAAAATTACAAATGGCCGAACAAACAATTGACAAAAAGATTTCGGCATAATTTTAAAAATTTACCAATAACGATTTTCTTAATAATTTCTAATTGGTCAATTTTGAAAAATTACGTCGAAATCATTCTGTCGATTGTTTGTTTGGCTGTTTGTAATTTTCGGACAAAATGAAAATTCGTAATTTTAAAATTTCTATCAAAAGACAATTCATATATTTATATAAATAAATTCATAAAATTTCTATTAAATAAAAATTCTTTTAAATGCGAATTCAGTTAAATCAAAATTCTGTTAAGTGAATATTCTGCTAAATAAAAATTAGATTAAAGAACAATTATGTTAATTAAAAATTATGTATTATGTAAATTTTGCAAAATATAAATTCTGTAAAATAGAAATTATATTAAATGAAAATTCAATCAACTAGAATATTTGTTTTAGAAAAATTCAACTAAATAAAATTTCCTTTATAAAATTCGGTAACATAAAAATTCGAGCTCATTAATCTAATTTAAAAAAAATCAATTTTTTTAAATATAAGGTGAGAATAAACAAAAACATTTGGATAAATAATTTTTATCAATTAACTTATTTTTTACTTTCTTTATATTTACTTATTTACGTATTTTATTGTTTTACAATAATAATAACAATAATTTTTTTTTATTTGTCTTATAAAAGAGAAAAATAATAAATTGTTACTTTTTATTTATTTATTTTTTTTTTTGTTATTGTGCGATTCCAAGTGAGATTTTGACTTTTTCGGAGTAGGTTAACCGATTGCAATGAAACTTTGGAATTTTGTTATATATAGTAAGACTAATCTTTAACGTAAATTTCAGCCTAAAATATTTGTTAGTTTACGAGATTTGCAATAATAACAAAAAATTTAAAACTGCTATATCTTCCGTTCTAATAAACGGATTGAGGTCTACTTTTTTTTAAAATGTCAAGGAAAATGAGAGGAATAAATCTCTTTCAGAACATTTTTTTATAATTTTACAACTAAAAAAATTATTAAATAATAATTGAATAACTTTCGCGCGACTAACTAAAATTCAATCACTTAAACGCTAAAATGATCTTACCTGTGTTTTCTTTAATGTTCTAAAGGATTTTTATTGTAAATGTAAGTTTAACTTAAGAAATTTTATTAATTTATTAGTATAAACAATTGAGATTTCTGCTAGTTGACGTGCAGACGACATTGCGCACGCAGCATTCTCACATAGCCAACTGACGTGATTCGTGGACTAAATTGGCTATGTGAGAATGCTGCGTGCGCAATGTCGTCTGCACGTCAACTAGCAGAAATCTCAATTGTTTATACTAATAAATTAATAAAATTTCTTAAGTTAAACTTACATTTACAATAAAAATCCTTTAGAACATTAAAGAAAACACAGGTAAGATCATTTTAGCGTTTAAGTGATTGAATTTTAGTTAGTCGCGCGAAAGTTATTCAATTATTATTTAATAATTTTTTTAGTTGTAAAATTATAAAAAAATGTTCTGAAAGAGATTTATTCCTCTCATTTTCCTTGACATTTTAAAAAAAAGTAGACCTCAATCCGTTTATTAGAACGGAAGATATAGCAGTTTTAAATTTTTTGTTATTATTGCAAATCTCGTAAACTAACAAATATTTTAGGCTGAAATTTACGTTAAAGATTAGTCTTACTATATATAACAAAATTCCAAAGTTTCATTGCAATCGGTTAACCTACTCCGAAAAAGTCAAAATCTCACTTGGAATCGCACTATTACAATTATTTCTTATTTATTTTTTTAAATTGTAATTTTTTAACAATATTTTTTTTTTTTAGAAAATATTTTACCTTGAAAAACGAATCTATTGATGTATATAAAATACATATTTTAATAGAAATTTGTAAAAAATAATCGCTATTTTTGGTTTTTGAAAATATTTTAATTTTTGATTTTTTTCTATAAATTTGAAAATTTTCCATTATTTAATAGATTAATTTAATTAAATATATTTCACCAGAAATTTTTATATTTAATGGCAATATATTACTTTTAAGAAATTCAAATTTTTATCTGTCATAACTTTTTAAATCAAAATAATTTGAGACAAATTGAATGATTTATAATAAAATAAATTATTTTGTATTAAATAATTTTTAAAATAATTGTTTCTCTATGAGGAAGCAAAATTGTTCATAATATAAAGATAATCATTTTATTTATTTAATATTTATGTATTTTATTATTTTTGTATTTATAATTTTGTTTTTGTATGGTATTTAATATTTTATAAATATTTTTAAGACTCCCTAAAGAGGAGGTTATTCCGATTTCGAAACGTTCGAGTAAATTAAAATTAATATTTGTCCCAAAAAATTTAATAAATAATAATAATAATAATAATAATAATAATAATAAATAAAAATTCAAAATAACTAGCGCCATTTGAAAACAAAAAATAAATTTTCAAAATTTTACTCCAAAACGTTTTGATAAATGTGAGGTTATGTTACAAATATATGACAAAATATAGTTCGGAATAATTGTAGGTATACTCCAAAAAAAAAATTATTTCCAATGTAAAACTGCATGTTTTAAAACAAGTAACTAGCAAATTATTGAAAAAATATTCCTCTATTTAAAAGAAACGAAAAAATAATACCATAAGCATAAATTCCTCGTAGAAGTTCATCACGTAGACCCATGTTGTCAAAAGTTGGTACAACCTCAACATCTTCGGATGTCTCGAATTCAACGTTTGAAAGATCCTCAGTGGGAAGTCGCCGACCTTTTGTTTCTGACATTTTTGCTTAAATTTTTGTCAAAATATGAAAAATAGAAATAACCGATTAACTTTTATATTTTTTTTTCACGCTAAAGCAAAATCGGAGACGCCACACACCACTACTCAAGTTGCGATAACAGTCGACAATAAACGAGTCACACAATCGTCAATTGTCGACAATTACCGATAATATCCGAATACGAACGATGAAATTGGAGCAAAAATGTGCTTTCTGTTCGGAGTTGTTCGGGGGGACTTCTTTCAAAACAAACCAAAACTCTAGTTTTTATGGTTATGTTTAAATTATAATATTTATTATTGTAATTGTTAATTAGTGAAATTAAATAATATTTTGCGAAAAAATGATATCAGGAATACTCTCCTCCCTTTCCAGGTGAATGACTCTTTTTTAAAAATATAAATTAACCTTTATTTTATTTTAAATAAATTAATTTTGTGACATAACCTATAGAAAGTTTGTTAAAAATTTATTCCATTTTATTATATTTACTAAAAAATAATAACAATCTATTTTAATATTAATGAATAAAAAAGTAAATTATATTTATCAGCTAATTTTCTATTTTATGAAAGATATTAAAACTAATGACAAATCCCTTTTTTCGAGTGCATTTATCACAAGGAAAATTGGGATCAAAATTCGAAATTTAAGATAAATAAAAAAAAAAAAAATTAATAAAAAGCATAATTATCAATTTTTAGATTATCCATTGGCAATGTACAAGGAACCGGAAGAACTTTCACTACAAATACAATTCCTCTTTATTTCAATGCAACACAAATTCTTTGGTAAATTTAACATTTTTCCCATTTTATTTTTTTTATAAATAATAGAATTAATTATTAATTATAAAAATAATTACAATTAATTTTAGTTACATTATTTTAAATACGAAATAAATATTTTTTTCTATTTTTAAACTTGTTTATTTATTTTTAACTTTAAATAAGAAATATTTTCTTTAGATTAGGGAAATTATTTCATATTTTTATTTTTATTCCCTATTATTAAAAAAATCTTTTAATGTTATAAAATTTTTTGAAAAATTTAAATAATTTTGAAAAGAAAATATTTTCAGATTTTTTTTCAGCAGTACTTTTCAATTATTTTTTTTTTTACTATAATTTTAAGTAAATTTAGAAAACATAATTTGCAGAAATTTTCAGAATTCAGGGTGTCTAACAGTCAGAAAAAAGTCAGGGAATTTCTTTAATTTTCGGGAATTTTTTATGAATAAATTAAAGTAACTATTAGTTTCAAAAATTTTTTACTTTTTTCCCAAAAGCAAATGCAAATTAAAAAATTGTCCTTCACACTCAATTATTAAGCATGTGATATATCTTATATTCATTAAGTAAATAATTTTTTATTACTATTTATTGAATCTAATAAATGATTTTTTAAACTTGGATAACAATTAATTAATTTTTTTTCAGTGAAATATTTGGTTTTTTAATATAAATAAAAATTATTTGATGCAATTTTATTTTATCGGTTCAACTTTAAATGAAGTAAATTATTCATTAATAAAAAAATAATATTAATAAAAATAAAAAAATATAAAAATATAATATAATAATAATATAAAAATTTTTACGGCGTCGAATATTAAATTATCGAATTTCTAATTAGCAAAATTGTATAAAGTGGATTTTATATTATACAAAATTTTCAATTTACATTTAACTAAAATTCGATTTAAAAGAATTTCTATTTAGCAGAACTCTTATAAAGCATTTTTTCTAATACTTTTAAAAAATTTTAAATTAATATAATTTCAATTTAACGAAATTTATGTCTATAAAAATTGACAAAAAAAGAACTAAGTAGAATTTTTCTTAAATGAGAATCCTGTTAAATAAGAATTAATTGGAATTAAAATTTTCTTTAATAAAAACTTTGTTAATTAAGAATTTTGTTAAATAGAAATTCTGTTCATTGTGGATTTATTCAATGACAATTCTGTTAAGTAAATATTTTGATAAATCGAAATTTACTAAAATAACAATTTTGTTAAAAAACAATTTTCTTAATGCAATTTTTCTTGACGTAAATTCCGTTGAATTGAAATTGTATTAATTTGAAATTCGATGTACTAGAAAATCTGCTTTATATAATTTTACAAAATAAAAATTTGATAATTTAAGATTCGACGCCGTAAAAATTCATTTAAATTAAATGTTGAGAATATTTATACTTTCCCAATTAGTTTATTTATTTCACTTAAATATTTTATTTTTTACGAAAAATTATTTACTTGGTTTAAATACATATGAAATTAGTGGATAATAGACAGGTAAATGATTTAATTGTATCAAAATAAATTTTATTTAATCAAAATAAAATTTTTTTAGTGTAATTTAGGTCAGGAAAAGTCAGGGAATTCTTTTCCTAGCTGTTGTTAGACACCCTGGAATTATATATTTGATATTTCTTTATTTCTTTTTAATACGTATCAAGAATTCAAAAGTAATATTTTTTCGAAAATTTAATTTCCGTATTTTTTTATATTTTCTGCCTAGAAATGTTCTTTATTGTGAAAATTATGATATTTCAGTGCAGAACCTTTAAAAAAGAAAAGAAGAATTGATCCTGCTGTTCTAAAGCGGAGATTTGAGAGAAAGACAAGAAAAATGCAAAAAGAAATTCGCAGATTAGAAAGAGCTAAAAAAACTTTAAAACCAATAATGGAACTGGAGGTACCAAAAGAGATTTATATGGAAAAGAAGTAAGATTATTAAATATATTTTTTATTTTTATTTGATTAACATTTTTTTTATTTTTGTGTACTCTACGTAAAAGGATTCCACGTTTTTTTTATCAAGCTGTTTGAGTTATGAATTATTTAAAATACTCATAAAATTTTTATTAAACCGATTTTCTATATTATAGAATTTTTATATAACCGAAAATTCACTTCACAAAATTTTTATTTGTTCGAATTTTCAATTTGTCAGAATTTTTATTTCCTCTAAATTTCATTTAAAATAAAAGCCATTTTAATGATTTTTTATCAGGTACAGTTTTATTGCATAGAATTTTCTTTTACTTAGATGATTTTTCATTTGTTCAAATTATTATTTAATAGAATTTCCATATAACCGATTTTTCATACTACAGAATTTATACTTAACCGAAAAATCATTTAACAGAATTTCTAATTGATAGGAATTTTCATTTGTCCGAAATTTCAAATGTCCAAACAAACAATCGACAAAAAAATTTCAGCGCGATTTTTAAAATTAACCAATCAAAAATTATTATCTATAAAATTCTGATTGGTTGCTTTTAAAAATCGCGCCGAAACTTTTTGCCGATTGTTCGTACAGTTCGCAATTTCGAACAAATGACAATTTTATCCATTCGAAATTCAGTTAAATTATTTTTCGGTTAAGTATAAATTATGTAGCATGAAAAATCGGTTATATGAAAATTCTATCAAATAATAATTCAAACAAATGAAAATTCATCTAAAAATTCTACCCAATAAAAATTAATTAATTAAAAATCTGCAATATAGAAAATCGGTTTAATAAAAATTTTACAAAATAATAATTCGAACAAATAAAATTCAGCTCATTGAAAATTGTATCTATTGAAAATCTCTATTAAATGAAAATTCTAAAAATTAATTTTTAAAACATTTTCATGCGTCAAAATTTAGTTTAATTAAATTAAAAAAAAATTTTGTTACTCAATTTAGTTTGAGGATAAGAAAATTACCGAAAATGTCGGAGGAAGTTGCAGCTGAGAGAATTGAAATAAGAGACAAGTGGGCTCATTATAAACTGTTGGAGTATATGAAAGATATGAAAACTTTGGAAAGTATTCGAAATTCTCAAGAGAAAGCACTAAAGGCTCTTCGAGAGGAATCTGAAGAACTATATCAAGAAGCAATACAAGTAATAAAAATAAAATTCTTGTTTGATAATTTAAATTAATTTAAACTTAAAAATTTTAATTTTTACCAAATTTTAATTTAATGCAATTTGAATTGATTTTTTAAAAATTTAAAATGAAATCTTATTAATTTTTTTTTGCCTCTTCTTTTTGAAAAGCGATTTTTTCTAAATTTTCTCCACTTTACAGTTGGATCTTTCTTATTTACCGTATGAAGTATCAGGTCCAACTATCACGCCACCCATCGAAAATTATAAATCACCAGATGGAGATCATTTTGATATTACGAAAAAATATGAAGGAGAATAATATAAAAAATATATATGTTAATAAATTTTTAGCTCGCAGAATAAATTTTGTTTCTTTTTATCTTTCTTCTTTTTGTTGAAATGTACAAAAAAAATTATTTTGTAATCGTATTCAGATTTTCATTTTTCTTTTTATTTCAGTAGAAAAAAAATGATTACATATATGTATTTTTATTTTCTTATACAAAAATATGGTACACACAAATACATACACATTCATACATATTCGACACAATAGAAAAATTGATTCAAGGAATAAATAAACGAAATATTTATTATATATCTATTAAAAAAAGATTAAACTTGCAAACATTGAAATAAAACGTTAAATTCATGAAAAACACTGTAAAAAGTTTTTATACAAATAAAACTTAAGTGTTTTTCATGAATGTTTATATATATATTATATAGTGAATGATTCGTTTGACGGGGGAAAAAAATTGATAATTGTTTTGCGAGAAAATGTCAAAAACATGGTTAAAGAATAGTTTGGATTTTTACATTTTCATTGTTCTCCCATTTTTATATTTACATAGTTTATTGGGAAAAATCTCATCTTTCTAATAAAAATACAAAAAAAAATTAACGGGAGAAAAGGGGATGCAGCGTGCAATAACAACACCAACGCTCGGGCTGTGGGTCCCAACCGCAATATCTACTTCGACTTGCGCAGTAGAAATTAGATCGGGCCAATAAGGAGGCTATTCTTATTGTATCAACCTAACCTCAATTATTGTGTGATTTTCATTGCTTTTAGCGGTTTTACTTTTATGTTTTTTTGCATGAAGTAGTATAAGGAGCACTCACTCCATAGGCAGTTTTTGAAAATTCTTCCCCAGCCTTTCCAGATTTAATAGAAGCATTTACATATCCCCGATACAAACAACCCTAGCGGAAAAGCGAGGAATTACAGGTCATGTGGTACATTGTTATATAAGTGTTTGTGTATAACTGTCAGTTGGCGTTTTTTTTTAAATGTGTTTGATGCGAGTTAATTTTGTGTAATTATGTGTGTAACTTTTTTCTTTCTTTACACTTTTTCTAAAATTATTATGTATCACTTTACACTGTTTACTATATGAGAACAGCTGTCACGAGGCGCAGCCATATTTTGAAAACTTCTAAGTACTCCGCTTTTCCGCTAGAGACGTCATAATCGGAGATATGTAATTTCGGATTTATTCTCATGCAGGGAGCCTATAAGCTTAACAAGCAGTGAGTGCTCCTTATATCATGGTTTTTTGAAAATAAATAGTGAATAAAGGTGGAAGATCTGATCATGATGAATGGACAAAGTTAGATTTCGTTTTGCAGAGGCAAAATGGAAAAGTTGTTGCATTTTGTAACGTTTGCAAATGTGGTTTACAAAATACAGCTGCAGTAAGGTTAAAAAGACACAGAAAAAATTGTCTCCTTCGAGAAAACAATCCAGGTGATGATACTTCAAAACGTTTAGTGAACTCTGACATTAGTCAAAATTCAATAATGAGCATTCAAATGAATAAAAATACAGTTAATGAAGACGCTTTTAAAAAATAATCATTCTTTTAGCATCCAAACGGACGAAAGCTCGTTGAAGGATCCAATAATAATTCTGTTAGCTTTAAAATGGACCAAAATGCTTCTAAAGAAATTATTTGTAATCAATTCATCCTTTTTAGAGGCACCTGTTTATTGAACTTGATTGTGTAGGTATTCGCATACTGGCAGCGAGTGAGGAGATAACTCTACTTCTCTCCTATTGCCACTCTCTATTAAAAATGGAACGTGAGGATTGAAATTCCGTCTTCAGACGGCTTCTTTTCCAATTTTGTGTGACGATTTTAATGCTCATCATGAGTGCTCTTCGCTCTAATACAAGAGATCGCGACTTACTCCAGTCTACTTTGGACTCAGACTTTGTTTCCAGATTTATGATCAATTTGTTGCTTCTTTCGTGGATGCGATTCAGTCTGCTGGGGACTTTCTACCTTCCAGTAAATCATCAAGATCCAGAGTCCAACCGTTGTGGTAAAATCCAGAGTGCGACTAAGCTATTTGAAAAAGGAGAGTAGCCAACAGAGTCTTTTGGCCTAGTCAAACGCCGGCCTTGGATAGGGAGGCAAGGCGAGGTGACCAGGAGGTCAAATGGCTTCTTAGCGCCAAGAAGAGGGATTATTTTCAAGACATGTGTAATAAGATGACTCCCTCTATGGGTGTAGAAAAGGTGTGATCTCTGGTTAAATCACTTTATCTCCAGAACCATAGAAATAAGCCAGTCTCAGATGACTGGCTCGATTGTTGATAATCGACTAAAAAAGGAACTTGTCTGTGTGGCAGTTCCGCTTTTTCTCATTCCGAGGGTGATTTGTTTGACGAAGAGGACCCATAGTAGGTGTTTTTTGAGATTAATTCGAGCGCGGCAGATGAACACAGGGAGATACCTTGCATGTTGTTGAGTACCTCTTCCTAGTTCAGTGCTCTGAATGTCAACGTGAAGAAATTGAAGCAAGCGCGGGTAAACTGCGGGAGTAATTATGACATTTGATACGGCTCCTTAAACAGAGTTGACAAAGTTTTAAGAGCGACAGTAAGTGAGTGGCTTCATCTGCCACACGATGTTCCCAAGGCATTTTTCCATTCATCGGTTTAAGATGGTGGATTAGGCATCCCTTCAATGAGATGGATGGGTCCCTTGCTGCGGAAGAGGCGTCTGGAGGGATTACGCGCGGAAGAACTTGGCGCAGCTAACTCGTTTCTCGAAAACGAGATATCAATCTGCGAACGCCGATTGGTGGATCAGGGTAATCGACTTGGTTCACTTGATGATGTCATAAAACTCTGGGCTGGAAAACTCTATTCTTCGGTGGATAGAGGCGGCCTCAGAGATTCGACCAGAACAGCGGGTCAGCATTATTGGGTGAGTGACGGCACGAAATTCTTGACTGGCAGAGACTTTATTAGGTCCTGCCGGTTAAGAATAAGTGCTTTACCGACCAGGTCTAGGACCTCTCGAGGGCGAGTTAGAGATAGGGGTTGGAGAGCAGGGTGCTTTGATCCGGTCACACTAGATCGGGCACCGGAAACCCTTAATCATGTCCTTCAGGTGTGCCACCGAACGCATGCAGCGCGTATTAGTCGGCACGATGCTGTGGTCTCTTATGTTGCAAAACAACTACGCGAGAAAAGGTGTAATGTTCATCTAGAGCCTCGCATTAAGACCAGGGAGGGCCTTAGAAAGCCTGACCTTATCGCGACGAGAGATCTGTCTGCGGTAGTAGTTGATGCACAAGTTGTTGGTGAGCAATCCGATTTGGGGACCGCTCACTACAACAAGGTCCGCTATTACCAAGGTAATGCGGAGATCGCAGCATTCGTGTCCGGCGAGTACGGTATTCCTGTGGACCAAATCTCTTTTACATCGGCCACCCTCAATTGGAAAGGGGTTTGGTCCCCCAACTCCGCCAATGATCTGAGAGGTTGGGCGTTTGTCCAAAAAGATTTTAAGATCGTTTCCTCCAGGGTGTTAATTGGCGGGCTGGCCGCATTTAATATCTTTAATGCTAGCGTGGTAACCAGGAGAGATTGAATGGGAATCGGGTAGAGTGAGATTCAAGTTAGTTTTGGTGACGCCTGCCATACAGGCGCAATATTTTTTTTATTATTTTTGTTTTGTATGGCCCCCAGGGACCAGCCTTACCAAATAGGTTTGAGTTGGCGTATAAAGCAATAAAAAAAATTATGACTCTCTCTCTTAACGCAGACGCGGTGTCGTGCATGGGTGTATGAGCGCGGGTTCACGATTTTACAAGGGCAGGGATGGTCTTCTGACAAGATCTATCTACGACGTAGGGTCATTCAGGGAGATTCGCTATCATCGCCGATCTTCAATCTGCTGACCCATAGGCTGTTGGAATGTATCCCAGCCGAGGTCTGTGTGACAATCGGAGAAAAGACCATCAATGCATCTGCCTCTGTGAATGATATGAACCGGATTTTTGCCCTCTGTTGTAATTTGATCTCGAAGCTATACCATCAGGCTTCCTTGGGGAACGTGCTTGTCCGAGCCTTAAATAAGGTAGACAAGGCAGGAATGACTTAGAGCAGAACAAGATCTGGCTCAGATTAATTCTTTCCTCGAGGCTGAGATATCAACTTGTGAAAGAAGATTGATTGATCAGGGTTCTCGTCTGGACTCTCTCAACGATGTTAAAAGGCTATGGACCGGAAAACTCCATTCTTCTGTAGATGGATGTGGCCTCAGGGACTCAACAAGAACACCTGGTCAACATCGTTGGGTGAGCGATGATACAAAGTTCTTGAATGGCAGAGATTACTTAAGATCCTGCCGGTTGAGAATTAGTGCCCTACCGACCAGATCGAGAACCGCTCGAGGAAGGATGAGGGTGAAAGGTTGCGAAGCAGGGTGAGCAGTCGGATTTAAAGTCTGCTCACGACAATAAAGTCCGGTATTACGGTGGTAATCTGGAGATCACGGCATTTATATCCAACGAGTACGGGATTCCGGGGTCTAACGTCTCCTTCACATCCGCCACCCTGTATTGGAAGGGAGTTTGGTCTTCCTGGTCTGCAAATGACCTTAGGGGGTGGGGATTCGTCCAGATAGACTTTAAGACCGTCTCATCCAGGGTTTTAATAGGGGGACTGGCGGCTTTTAACATCTTTTTCGTCAGCACGGCAACAAGATATGCCACGCGCACCAAAGTGGGATAGTGGAGCAAGACCATCGGAAGTTCCTTGGGTGCCGCCTGCCAGAATCAGGCGTAATATTTTTTATTAGGGACCGGCCTCATGCTTCTCTTCATTCTTATTATTTTTATCGAGTATGAGACCGGCGTTTTAATTAAAAAACAATTATGACTTTCTCCCTTAACGCAGACGCGGTGATGTGCAGGCGGTGTCGTTTTAGACCAGATACCACGGCACATGTTCTGGGCTATTGCTTTTTCAACAAGTCCTATCGAATTGCGAGACATAATGAGATCCTTGATCTCGTAATAAATAAGATCTTAAAGTGTGGGATTGCCATCAAGGTGATGAAAGAACCTGAGGTGGACATCAACGGGGTCCTTTTGAAGCCGGACTTAGTCTTGGTAGAGGAGGATGCTGTTGTTGTAATCGATGTAAAGATTAGATATGATCAAGAGCAGTCCCTCTTTGAACCAAAAAGAGAAAAAGAGCCAAAATACCAACCTGTCGCTGATCACCTCGGTGGAACCAATCGTTGTTGGCTCTAAGGGGCCCTTTCGCACCTTTCTGTCCGCACGCTCGAGAAATGTGGATTCACGGTAGGAGATTGTAAAACTATTTCATTAATAGCCCTCAGAACATCTATGGAAATTTTCCTTTGGTTTCTGGGTGGCTTGGTGATCGAATGCTACAAGATGTCATATAATTCAAGTTTCACTTTTATGACGATCTTCTTCCTTATATACCCTTCCTTTTTATCCTTTGACTATTTCCTTATTTTACTTTGACTATTTTTTTATTTATTATTTTATTTTAAATCTCCTAACGTGGGTGGAGTAAAATCTATAAACGCCATGGAATGTAGTATACATATATATATATATTTTCTTCTTATACTACCGGAAGATAGCCAAATGCCTCCTCATCTAATAAGTGACGCGCTTGATTGGATTAACGAGTACCTCTTCAAAGTATTAACTCTTGTTATCAAGACATGCGTCTAGGATAGTCCATCAGATTAGTAAAAAAACCGATGGTTGAAGATATTGATGAGCGTCAGATTAAGGTAAGGAGGGTTAATTACTAGCTAAAAAATGTACATTTAAAAAATCTGATAATTTGAGCGTAACGTAAGGAAGCAGGAGGGTTACAAATTTGCAAAAAAACGTTGTCTTGACATTCTCGAGCACAGTTAATTTTTTTTAATTTGACTCTCTGAACTACTGTCTTACTTCACTGACGGATCGGTTAATGTTCCTGATCGTAGTAGATGTGGCTGTACCTTTTACTCAGCTGAAAGCGATTTCCGTTTTGGCATCCCTTTGCATCTCCTCGTACAGCGAGGATAATAAAGCTTATGCTTTATTAACCGCACTCAAGCATGTTTTGAATCATGGTATGAAGGTTTCCGCGGGTATGTATGCCCTTTAAAATCAAGTTTGGTTTGACTCATCAGGATCTCCATGATGTAATCGATTTAGAGTACTCTACTTGCCTTTGGGTTGGATAGCCCTATTATGGTGACAGGTCTAAGTTTTGTAATGACTATTTACTCCGCAAGAGGTTACTAATATAGAAGAAGAAGACAGATAGTTCAAGCATGGTCTAAGCGTACGTATTGTTATTGCACACTGCTGCTCAATTAAAAACTTTTTGAAAATTAAATTCGATAAAGTTAAGTCAAACTTATACAGATTTTAATGATTACTCCGATATATTTGGGGTGGCTTTATTCTCGGATAATGTCTCATATATACAGTGTGATTTTTATATTCCATACCTCCAACAATATTTTTTAATTCAACTTTTTTTATTTAAAAAACGAAAGAAATGAGATTTAAAAATATGTAGGGGGTGCCGAACATAAAAATCACCCTGTATATGCTTTTTTGGCATATATGCATATTTAGTATAAAAAATATGAAGATGGAAAAAATGAAAAATATGAAAGTAGCATATTGTGCTTTTTTTCTTATCACAGAGTATTTACGTCATCGGAGATTCATAAATGTGACGGTGTCTACAAAGAACGAGACCTAAGAAGTACAAAAATTTAGACTATGTTTATGATAGTTTAACCTTGAAACTAGATGCATTTGATCGGAATGACTTCGGATTAAACCTAATAAATTCCGGATATAGTTACACAAATCGGGAAAATTTTGGACTTAACTGAACTAATTCTGGATGACAAAGTTCTGACCGGTCTGTTTCGACTTTAATTCCGAATTAATTCAAATCGAAGGAGTCAGGAATTTTAATCAGAGTAACCTATAATTTTTTGGTTCTTAGGTCTCTTTCTTTTAAAATCACATCACATATTTATAATAATGTAATAACAACCATCTCAATCGAATTTGAGTTCTCTTTTACACATCGGACATTTGTCACTACTCTTAAGGCATTGTCTTAGACAATCGGCATGAAAAATATGATGACATGGTGTGATACGTGCTTTTGTCATTGAAAATAGACAAACGGCACAAACATCATCAAATTTTTCAATTTCCTCACATGTTGCTTTTCTATATCTATTAAGAATTTGTCTTTCTTTTTGAAGTGCGGAGCCGGAATTTTGAGCGAGTTCCTTTGATCTCAAATAGACGTTGATATAGGTGGCGACTAGTAAAAATCTCCACGACGCTGATGTGGGAATTAGAATAAGTGTGAAAATCAATGACATGACAATTGTAAAACAACGAAGTATCACCGGTGCATAAAGATTTTCAATATTCTCAAGAATTTCTAATTGAAGAAAAATAAGTATTCCCGGGAACATTTCCACAAACACCTTCTCGGTGGCTAAATAATAGAGCCATGTAATTGATGTGTACAACATTGAAGGTCTGAAATTTTAAAACATTGCGTACATATTATCTTCAATAATCTCAATAATAAATAGAGTATACTCTATATTATTATTATTATTATATACCCAGCAAAATGAAAACTAGTTCATTTGAATTGAAATGAATATAGCTTGGAGTTCAGTGAATTCCGCTTAGCGACAAATTCGAATTGGAGCTATGTTGCAATTCTCCTGAATTCGACAAAACTGAATTCTACTTCCAAACTCTCTATTTGTACTATAATTCAATGAACAAACTTTTGAGCATTATTTTTTTTAATTAGTTAGCACAAATTCAATGGACGAGTTGGTCATTTTGTTTGAATTCTCAACCAATGAAAACTCATTGGTACGAATTGAATTGAATATACAAAGGACTTCACTGAATCTTGCTTAGCGATAAATACGAATTGGACTTTGTCAAAAAAGTTAATTCATTTCAATTCATCTGAATTAGTTTTTTTTTACTGGGTAGGTTAAATTTGCGTCTGCGATGCCTAACGTGACATCACTTCCGTCAGTAAAGTCACAGAAAGTAAAGCGATTACCATCATGGACCCAAGTTTCCATTGGCTTATATGGGAGATTTTAGAAATTAATTATTTTCTCTGAAATTAGAAAATAATTTATGATAACTTTTTGTGTTTCAAATAAAGTAGTAATTGAGGGTTCACATGCAATAAGGGGATACGCATGAAAGTGAAAGTCCCCACGTACAGCGATTCTGCGGCTGCGCGAGGGGCTAACGAAAATACTGCGCGTCCCCTTATTGTATGTGAACCCTCAATTTATGCAATTTACGCTTATAATTGTCATCAATGTCTCAATGATTAAAAAGTAATAAAAAATCAATTCTAGCAGACGAAATTCTCTTCTGCTAGTTCTGTTGGAATTGATTTTTTAATCGTTGAAACATTAATGATATAATTAAAAGCAATTACGTATAAAGTACTTTTTTATTCGAAACAAAAATAGTTATCATGAATTATTTTCTAATTTCAGAGAAAATAATTAATTTCTGAAATCTCCCATATAAGCCAATGGAAACTTGGGGCCCCGGTGCTGTGAATTTACCGACAGAGGTGATATCACGTGCTTTTTTGGGCAGACGCGAATTTATCCCACTTTTTTATCCATGTTTAATTTATCAATTTTCTACTTTATCATCTGCGACAAAAACAGCATCAAAGAAAAAATTTTACTAACCTATAATTGTCCAGTCCTTGTTCGAGACCGAAGAAAAGTAGCATAAAAGTAATGGTCACAACAAAAGTGACAGCTTTCGTCCATTCGAGAACAATTTTTGTTGCCGACATGGCGAGATGTTTAATTTGCGATTGTTCGGTGAGTGTAACGTACGGTGACCAATCCTCTTTTTCAATAAGCTCCTTAATATAACTGACACAGTAGGCAATCACATTGTAAAACATAAGGGTATACAAGCATGTCATTCGCTGTTGTGGAACGAGAACTTTGTCGGACAACATCAAAAATACTATTTGATTCATCATTAGTGAGAGATTTTTCATTTTTAAAAAGAGATTCTCCGCCCTATCAATTGGTCCATGGATACGTTTCAAGAAACCACTTAGAGGTTTCCATCCTTTTTTCGCAAGATCTGAAAGAAGAAAAGAAATTCAATTAATATAGATTTAAATATAGATTTTTTCAATTTTGTAGAAAAAAATTATATTTATATTCACTTCAATGATTCAATCTCCTCTCCTTGCATATTCTATTATTTTTCCGCTTTACTCTATCTTATTTATTTCCTCTACTTCTTACTTCATTCACTTCCCAAGCAGCACATAATATTGCAGTAATATTACCCGGTAATATTACAGAAATATTAAAATGTCCGCCTCATGGCAATATTACCGGTTAATATTACTATAATATTACAATAATATTACTACAATATTACAGTAATATTACTGTAATGTTACTGTCATATATATTTTTTTAAATATAATTATTTTTTAATTGAATTATATAGGGTGGATTTCACTGTTTTGAATTAAGTTTTAATCCTTAAAATAGCAGTTTGCAAAATCGAATTTCATCTGTGAGCGCTACGCGATCATTATGATTATTTCACCTTACCGACTGATAGTAACATTTTTTTGAAAAATGATAATATAAAAATTACCGACATCCGTTAATTAAAATTATTTTTCCTATGGTTCTCATGATTTTAGTAATGGTCTATAAGTAAGAATAATGTTAATTGTACGCCTACTGAAAATTCTCATGTAGGATCATATATAGGATCTCACATAAATTCATATATTAAAATCCACATAAAATCCTATGTGTCATGTAAAAAACTATATAGGATCTTATGAAAAATCATATAGGAAATTGAGACATGATTTGAAGTGGGATTTGATGTAAATTCTTATAAACATATTCTTAGGTAATAAATTATGTAAATTCCTATGTGAAATCCTACAATTTTTTCTGATCACATTTTTTCCTTCAATTTCTTATGTCAATTTCCTTCGTGTTTTCTCGTTAAAAAACATACAAAAATTCATTGCTCAATCCTTAACCAGAATTTTTCCTATATCAAATCTTTTTTCAGTTCTTGAATAAAAAATTATTACAGAAAATCTGACATGAAATCATATTAAAAATCCTCACGTGGGATCATATATATGATTGATTTGAACATAAGAAATCATATAGGATTTCATGTAGATTCTGAAATATCTTTATCTAAGATTTCACATAGAATTATATAAAGGAAACAATATAGGATTTCATATAGGAATTTTCAGTTGGCAGACGGCAGTTTATAAAAAATAAAAATTGTTTAATTAAAAATCAAATAATATTACTGCAATTCATCTGAAAGAAAAAAAAATTGTGCTTTGCAATACACTTTCTGAGTCAGAGTCTCCACAAAAAATTAAAAGGCATTAAAGTAAGCTGCAACGCTTATTATTTTAATCCAATTTTGCTTATTTTAATCCATTTTGGTATTAAAATAAGCAAAATTGGATTAAAATAATAAGCGTTGCAGCTTATTTTAATGCCTTTTAATTTTCTGTCTCAGCTTTTATAGTATTCAAGACTGTTCTCAACTGTGAGAAAAAAAATTATCACCATCTGGCGGCGTAAGAGTGAAACTATGATGGTCTACATCTATATTGGAATTTCCCATATAATTTCCTACATAATTTTTCATATAATTTTCGACTTGATATCTTAGATGGACAATTAAAACAGTGAAATCCACACATGACATCCCACATAAATTCCTATATGATGAATTCTTACATAAGATCCTATATAGGATCTCATGTAAGAATTCATCATATACACGGACAAAAAGTACAACTGCATCTGAGAATTTTTTCGCCATAACAATTAAATATTTCGTCAAAAATGAACCAGCGATATTGTATTGACAAAATGCCTGACTAGAAAGATTGAACTCTAAATTCACTATAGCCGAATTGGCTAAACTTTCGGCTACTGCGGTGAAACTTATTCACAGCGTTGGATGTTTCGTTCCTTCATATTAATTATATTCCCAAATAGCTCGTTCACGTCGTAAAATTTTTTTCCGTGTAGGAATTTATGTGGGATGTCATGTGTGGATTTCACTGTTTTAATTGTCCATCTAAGATATCAAGTCGGAAATTATATGAGAAATTATGTAGGAAATTATATGGGAAATTCCAATATAGATGTAGATCATCATAGTTCCACTCTTACTCCACCAGATGGTGATAATTTTTTTCTCACAGTTGAGAACAGTCTTGAATACTATAAAAGCTGAGACTCTGACTCAGAAAGTGTATTGCAAAGTACAATTTTTTTTCCTTTCAGATGAATTGCAGTAATATTATTTGATTTTTAATTCAATAATTTTTAATTTTTATAAATTGCCGTCTGCCAACTGAAAATTTCTATATGAAATCCTATATTATTTTCTTTATATAATTCTATGTGAAATCTTAGATAGATATTTCAGAATCTACATGAAATCCTATATGATTTCTTATGTTCAAATCCATCATATATATGATCCCACGTGATTTTTTATTCAAGAATCCAAAGAAAATTTGATGTATGATTTGATATAGGAAAATTTCTGGTTAAGGATTGAGCAGTGAATTTTGGTAGGTTTTTTTTATAAGAAAACACGAAGGAAATTGAAAGAAAAAATGTGACGACAAAAATTGTTGGATTTCACATAGGAATTTACATAATTTATTACCTAAGAATATGTTTATAAGAATTTACATCGAATCCCGCACTTTAAATCATGTCTCAATTTCTTATATGATTTTTCATAAGATCCTATATAGTTTATTACGTAACACATAGGATTTTATGTGGATTTTAATATATGAATTTATATGAGATCCTATATAAGATCCTACATGAGAATTTTCAGTAGGGACTACCATAGGAAACGGACATGAGGAATGTTTTTTGAGATTTTTTTCAAGTTTTAAACTATAGATCAAGTCGTTCTTACCTTGGCAATCGATTTTGGTTTTTATGATTTTATATTCATGGTTCGATTTACACGCGGGTTTCTATTCAATTCTATTAAATTTCTTAAACAGGGGAGAAACTCAAAAACAGTGGAAGGGAAGTAGATTAGCACATGTATGTTGCGAGTTCATTAAAAAGGAAGAGAGTGGAATGGAGTATAAGAAGGATGTATGTATTGCTTTTTCATTTATATTACAAGTTTAGTAGCACTTTTTAAGTTCATTTTGTGTATAAAAATTATGTAAATTATTTCTTTTATAATAAATAATTCAAAAAGAAATTTTTTTTTTAAATTATAATAAAAACAACAAAATTTTAAGTATTCCTATCTTAAAATTAGCGTTTTCTCAAAATAACAAATATTTGACCAAATTTTACATTATATAATGACATTACAATGATTAATTAAAATTTAATATCTCATATTCTTAAATTAAAATGTTCACATTTGTTTTTAACATTTTATCAGATATAAGTCTAATTTTGTTTCACCAAACAAAATTCTTTTTTTTTTGTCATTCCTTAACTTTCTTATATAGGTATACATATCTGTTCTTAACAGAATAAATGTAAACAATACTGTGGATAAGTTTATAATTGAATTTTTTTTGTATATTTGACCTGAAATTACAAAAAACACTTAACGAAATATTTAGTATTGAAGAAATAATTTAAAGTTCACTTATCAATATTTTCTACTTAGATAATATATAATATATAAATATTAAAATTATAATAATTAGTACATATTAATAAATTATTATTATTAATATTATTATAATTATTATAAATTTGATAATTATTTTGTTGAGAGCAAAAATAAATTTCTCCTTTTAAAAATGAGAGAGATAATTTTTACAAGGCTCTTTGTTAATAATACATAATATATGAAAGGGTGAAAAAAAAATTAATGATTGTGTTGTATTTATAATGAAAGTAAATGGAGTTTGGCTTGATTTTTCGTAATTTTATGAAATTTACATATTAATGGATGTCAATCAAAGAAGCATTTTGCTAACAGGATGAGACGGATAAGATGGACAGGTGGGTCGAAGTTGCATGGCAACCGTTATCGTGTCCCTTTAGAAAAAAATGAAGAATTGCACGCAGTATAAAAACACTTCAAATTTCATTCTCTCAGCCATATTAATACATTAGATCCCAAAAAGAACATCTCAAGAATTCTTTTAAAATTGTTCTTCTTCAAAATTATAAGACTTCAGAATTTTAACTAAGGTAAGAAAATCTATTCTTTTTTTTTCTTCTATATTTAATTTAATATTTTTTCATTCATTTGAATTTATATATTAGATTAACAATATTAGCAAATAATTATTTATTCGAATATTAATTTTTTACTTGCATATGTTATTTACACAAATTTTCAAGTTTTAATTAATTTCGTGGGACGTATATGAATTTTGCATAAAAATCTATATGGTTAGAATTTTTGTTTTAAAGAAATTTTCTCAAAATTTCTTTTATTTTATTACTTACAGTTATTTTTTTAGACAAATTTTCATTTTTCGAATTAATATTTAATAGAATTTCTTTTTCAACAAATTTTTACAGATTTTTTAGGTACCGAATTTTGATTTTATAGAATTTCTCTTTTTCCACTTTTTATTTTTAAAAAATACTAATTTAATCGAATATTAATTTAGCAAAGTTCCCATTCAACAGAATTTTAAGTGATTTAAATTTTTAAATGCCAAAATTTTCAATTCACCGAATCTTCATTTATCCGAATTTTCATTTGCACAAATTTTTATTCGATAGAATTCTTAAAACGCCGAATTTCCATTTGACCGAAACTGTAAATGACCGACAAACAATCGATAAAAAGATTTCGGCGCGAATTTTAAAATCAAACAATCACAATTTTCTTTATAAATATTTAGTTTATTCTTCCACAATTATTTAATAAATTAGTTTTTCGATTTTTTGGAATAGGTAAGGTAAAAGAAAAAAACTTTCACTTTTTTAAATTTGTAAGACAACGTTTGGGTGGTCTGGTTCGCCACCATCATCAAGTCACTGATCATCATTGTGGCGAACCAGACCACCGAAACGTTGTCTTACAAATTTTAAAAAGTGAAAGATTGTTTTTTTCTTTTACCTTACATCTTCCAAAAAAATCGAAAAACTAATTTATTAATTTTCTTTATAATTTCTGGAGTCGATTTATTGTAGCCTAAATCAAAAAAGTTCAAATTAGCAGAAATCGAATTTCTGAACGTACGAATTACTAAAAAATCAAATTTCGAAAAATTCGTATTTTTCTTTAACCCATTAACGACCGCCAGGACGAAAAATTTACCTTCACTTAGCAGCTGTTATTTTATATGAAAAAATAATTCAAAAAATTCAGGATAGCCCATTTCTAACGTAAAATTTATCGCTCTTTTCGATTCTGAAGTCCAAATTTAATTATAATTAAATCCTTAATATTTATAACAATTTTATTGCAAAAAAACATGATTTTCTGCAAAAAAATTTTTATTCAAAAAATATTTTGACATGGAAAACGACAGTTAATTTGCTCCGGAACCCAAAATATCGCGTCCTCGAATACCCAGCTACAAAACTATATAGTTGCGAATTTCAAAATTTAAGATGGCGGACGACAAAATGGCGATTTTCCACTAAAAAAAACACGAATACGGTATAAGTTTTCAAAAATTCAAAATGGCGGATCCAATATGGCGGACAATTTTTTCAAAAACTCAATGGATTTATCTGAAATTTGTTACTCGGGGGTTTTTGGGGTAGCCAGTTACGAATCTGAAGTTACTTTTCAATAATTCAACATGGCGGATTCAAAATAGCCTACAAATTTTAAAATTCACCGAATTTGCTTAAAAATCAATACTTATTGAGTTTTCGGGGTCGTTGATTTCGAATTACTTCACTTTATATTGAAATCAAACACATTTTTTATTACTGATCTACTATTTTATTACTGTAATTCGAAATCAACGACTCCAAAAACTCAATAAGTATTGATTTTCAAGCAAATTCGGTGAATTTTAAAATTTGTAGGCTATTTCGAATCCGCCATGTTGAATTATTGAAAAGCAACTTCAGATTCGTAACCGGCGACCCCAAAAACCCCCGAGTAACAAATTTCAGATAAATCCATTGAGCTTTTGAAAAAATTGTCCGCCATATTGGATCCGCCATTTTGAATTTTTGAAAACTTATACCGTATTCGTGTTTTTTTAGTGGAAAATCGCCATTTTGTCGTCCGCCATCTTAAATTTTGAAATTCGCAACTATACAGTTTTGTAGCTGGGTATTCGAGGACGCGATATTTTGGGTTCCGGAGCAAATTAACTGTCGTTTTCCATGTCAAAATATTTTTTGAATAAAAATTTTTTTGCAGAAAATCATGTTTTTTTGCAATAAAATTGTTATAAATATTAAGAATTTAATTATAATTAAATTTGGACTTCAGAATCGAAAAGAGCGATAAATTTTACGTTAGAAATGGGTTATCCTGAATTTTTTGAATTATTTTTTCATATAAAATAACAGCTGCTAAGTGAAGGTAAATTTTTCGTCCTGGCGGTCGTTAATGGGTTAAGGGTATGTGGGTAAAGAACGTTTTTTGGGGTTTGAAACTTTCTCTAAAGTAAAAAATGATTTCGGGTTAAAATTTTGGAAAAATGATTTCGTTTGGTGCAAGGAATCTCGCTGTTCTTCACATTTACTATAACATAACGCAAAAATAATTAAAATAAAGCAATAAATAGTAAAATAATGTATTTTATCATAGTTCATTCAGCGGCCACTCGCTCGAATTGGCGCTGTTTACTGGAACACTGATACACTCAAGCAATGTCTGTGTATGCGCCGCCATCTTTGTTTTCATTTTCGTTAAAAAACGCCACTTTTTAAACTTCATTTTTTAATAACCCAAGCAGCCGGGATATCCCTTGAATACCACCGTGGAATATTCCCATGATCTTGCAGGAAAATCAAAATGTCCACATCATGGGAATATTCCACAGTGACATTCAGGGTATATTCCAGTGACATTGGGGCTAATATTAAAGGAATATTCCAGTGATATTGAAGGAATATTCCACGGTTATATTGATTTTTTTTTAAGTGTTGAAATAATATAAATACGTTATAAATTGTTATTTGAATAAGCAGGAAGATTAAAAACACATTTAAAAAAAAATTCAATGTAACCGTGGAATATTCCCTCAATATCACTGGAATATTTCCACAATATCACCTGAATATCCCCTTAATGTCACTGGAAAATCCCATGAATGTCACCGAGGAATATTCCCTCAATGTCACTATGGAATATTCCCATGATGCGGACATTTTGATTTTCCTAGAAGATCATAAGAATATTCCACTGTGGTATTCAACGGATATTCAGGGAATATACCGTGCTGCTTAGGAATTTAACACAAAATTATGTATTTTTCGGAGAACAGCGAGATTTCTTGAACCCAAATCTATTATCCCTCAAAATTTAAAACAAAAATCTTTTTTCATTTTAGAGTAAGACGTATACTACCAAAACACATTTTCTCATACTAGGTCACGTGGGAGGTTCCCACATACCCTTAATCGAATTATCAAAAGATTGAAACTTTTTACTCATATAAGTTTACTTTCTATATTTTATATAGCCACAGGGTATTCTATTTGGGCGCGAAATTTAAAAATTCTATATTTATTTTGAATTTCGAGCACAAATAGAATTCACTATGGCTAGATATAAAACATAGAAATCAAACTCACATGAGTAAAACGTTTTCATTTGTTGATAATTCGAACATTTGGAAATTCGACGAAATGAAAAAATATATATTTCTCTAAAAATAGTTTTATGATTAAATTTGATTTTAAATTAAAAAACATGTAAGATTAAAAAAAAAAAATTTTAATTGAAATTAAAAAAAAAAAAATTTGGTTACTGACCTCTAGTTGTTTGAACGATTGTTTTTAATGTTGAAACTGGATATCTGTAGTTGGCACTGAAAACAACCGGAAGTACCAGGGCCGAATAAAGTGCGGGTGCAGGTGGAGGCAACAAAGGAAGGGGCCCCCTTGGGCAAAAAGGAAGCAATAATACTGCACTCAAAAGACAAACGCTTTGTGCTGTTTTTTCCTTATCGACTCCAAATGAATTTGCTCTAATTCGTCCCCGAACTCGTGTTATCATTCCCATTTTTGGTTTTCTGAAAATAATTATAATTTTATTTCTCAATTAAACAATAATTTTTCTTATTTATTATAATAATTATAATATTTTATTATTAATAATTAATATAAAATAAATATGAAAATAATTTTTTTAATATTACATTTTATGGAAATGATGACAAAGAAGAAAGAATTTTTACACTTTCTTGTAGAGTTTTGCAAAAAAAAAAAAAAATTTTGCCATATTTCCGTTTGAAAACAGCGATTTCTTGGCAGAACGCCAACTTTAAATCCCACGTTTCTAGATTGAGATTAAATATTCTAAAATCAGTCACTCTTGATTATTTTTGGCTGAAAATTTTCGGCATTCTTAATCGGTGAATTTCGACAATTTCAATGATCGTACTTCATTTTAATAAACAAGCTCGCGGGATCGTTGATTTGTCGCACGCGAAAAAAAAAAATTAGACTTTTGAAAATATTCAAACAAAAAAATGTTCAATTTGCACAAAGATAATTTTTTTTTCAATTCTACACAAAAATTTGATAGAATTAAACTAAATAAATTATTTTTATTATTTTTATTATTAATAGTACATAATATTATTTTTTAAATTCATTATATTAATATTATTTATTATATTAATTTTTAATTATTAATTATTTACAATTATTTATTTAATATCCATTAAGTTTTATTAAATAAAATTATTTATAATTATAAATAATTAAATAAATAATCAATAAATAAATAGTTAAAATATTAACTAAAATAAATTTTGTAAATTAATTATTTAAGTAAAATAAAATTCTTTCGGAAAAATGAATTAATAATAACTATATATATATATAATGAGTTTTCTTTGAAAATTCTTGATGAGTCAGTGACACGTTCATTGTTTGTATTCGTCTACTCATAAAATTAAAAATAAACTATTTGGACAATCAACTGTTTGGTGTGCGATTTATTTTTTCCCAAATTTGCAAGAAACATTCAAGTCACTAATTGCAAGCATAAAAATTCCTATTAAAAAAAAAATTTACAATTTTTTAATAAAACAATATTTAATATGTTCAATAAATTTTAGATAAAAATTGAATATATGTTTTTAAAATTAAAATTAATCGTTTATTGTACAATAAAGATATTAATTAATAATTAAAAATCATTTAATAAATTATTAATTAAATGATTAGCAATAGTATATTGATAATTATTAATTATTTTTTAATTACAATTGACTTAACTTATATAATTAATTTTAATGAATTTTTAAATTAAAAATTTATTAAAATTACAATATAAGTTAAAATATATTTTCAATTAAAGAGTCTTGAAATTCTTTTATCTTTGCAAAAACAACAATTTCTTTTAAATGTATGATTAAAAAAATATAAAACATTCAAATTGATCTGAACTTGAAATTTTTGACTTTAATGTAATATATACAAAAATCTTCGAAACACTTTAATGTTTAAAACAACGCAAATTGGAACTTTCTGTAATCAAGTTTACATTAAATGCGTTTCTCTTCAAATTTTGTAAACAGGAAGAGCGCACAATTTACAATAATATTTTTAAAAATTTTTTCCTTCCAATAAAAAATGTATTTTTTAACTTGATTGTTCAAAAAAATACAATTTTAAAAATAACCCACAATCTAAAAATACTTGCATTTCAATAATTTGATATAATTTTTTTCAATAATAATAATAATTATTTTTATTATTATTATTAATTTATTATTATTAAAAATCGATTAATTTATTTCATATTTCTTTCTTTTATTAAACATTTTGAATATTTTAATGAAATTAACAAAAGTTAACAATTACTTAACAATAATAACAATATATTATTAAAATAATTATTATTTTTGTTATTATTATTATTAACACCGATTATTTTATTTTAGGTTTTTTTAATTTTATTAGATTTATTTATATTACTAATATTTCATAAAATTAACAAAAATTCACATTCGACAGTTAAAAATTAAAAAAATTTTGATAAAAATGAATGAACATTTGTTTTTTCAAAAAATTAAAAAAAAAAAAAAAAAAGAAAAACAATCTTCTTCGTTCCTTATAAATATTTTGACGTCTCTGATTTTGTACACACGTGAAAGTAATTATTTTGGCTCTTTAGTAACAAAAAGCATTAGTGCCACGTGTTTTTGTGAATTTGCAATTTTGTAAAGAATTTTGCAATCATCCGTCATTTGATCAATAGACTAAAAATAATAAATAAATAAAAACTATTCTTTATTGAAAAATAATTATTAAATTAAAAAATTTTTTTTAATCATAAAAAATGCATTAAAACTTTTTTTTTAAACAAAATTTTTATTAAAATCTATTAAAATTAATATAAATAAAAAAAATTAAATAAATTAATTGACATGTAAAATAAATAAATAATAATTAAATATTTTAATTAATTAATAACCAGTAGTAATATTAATAAAGTTACCTTTTAAGAAAATAGTTTTCACGTTCCCTTATAATACGTGGTCCACGTTATATGCACAGGTTTAAAAACAAAATTAAAAAGAAAAAATGAAACAACTTGGATATTTTAGATAAAACACGTCCAATTGCTTTGAATTTCTATGAGATACTGCGGCAATGAACATTTCTGTTTATTAAAGAAAGGATATATAGTAAGAAAATCTGGCAAGGGCCTAAAGCTACGCAAAAGACGCCAAATTTAATTTTAGATTAAATTTAAACACGAATTTTGAGATCATTCATTGATCCACGACGACCTATCCTATGTTTTTTTTATTGAAAAATTTTTCAATTAATTTTTCTTTACTACTTTTTTAATAAATTATTTAGAATTTTCTTTAGATTCTCTAATTTATTTCTTTTTAAAAAAAATTTCACTATTTTCTGAAAAAGATTTATAATAATAATAATATTAATAATAATAATAATAATAATATTTATAAACATCGATATTGGTATTCGATAACTAGTTCTTGAAACTTAATATATCGATAGTGATAATAGATACATCAATATTTATAATCGATAGATCAATATTTGTAATCGGTAAATCGATAGTGATATTCGATATATCGATATTGGTAATCACTAGATCGATACTGATATACGATATATAGATTATTGGCAATCGATAAATCGATAGTGGCATTCGATGTATCGATATTTATATTCGATATATCGATATGGGTAATCGATAAATCGATAATAATATTCGATATATCGATATTGGAAATTACTATATCGATACTGATATACGATATATCGATTAAAGTAAACGATAAATCGATAGTGGCATTCGATGTATCGATATTTATATTCGATATATCGATATGGGTAATCGATAAATCGATATGGGTAATCGATAAATCGATATGGGTAATCGATAAATCGATAGTAATATTCGATATATCGATAGTGGTAATTACTAGATCGATACTGATATACGATATATCGATTATTGGCAATCGATAAATCAATAGTGGCATTCGATGTATTGATGTTTATATTCGATATATCGATATGGGTAATCGATATATAGATATGGGTAATCGATAAATCGATAGTAATATTCGATATATCGATATTGGTAATCACTAGATCGATTCTAATATTCGATATATTGATATTGGTAATCGATAAATCGAAAGTTGTTTTCGATATATCGATATTGATATTCGATAGATCGATAGTGATATTCGATAACTAGTTTTTGAAACCTAATGTATAGATAGTGATAATAGATACATCAATTTAAGTAATCGATAGATAAATAGGGATATTCGATATATCGATATTTATATATTCGATAGGCCGATTGTAATATTAAATAAATCGATATTGAATTTAGATATATAAACATTGGTTTTGATATGTCGATCACGATATATCGATATTGATAGTTGAATTCAATGTATCATTAATGCTTTGCATTCTTGAAATTTGTTGTTTGACTCATCTTTTTATTTTTAATTGTCTAACAAAAAATTGTAGTACAAATATATATATAATTATGTATTATGTATAATATTTATAATACTTTCACGTATAATTTGACCCTACATATTCTCATAAAACAGCACCCCCTCCCCAATACGCCCACTATTAAACTTTATTTATGAATTAAATACTTTGTTGATATATGTACATACACTCATTTAAATAGATTCATATCTACGTTAAAACAATGTTGACAATATTTTGGCCCGCCAACTTAGATTTATATAATTAAACTTCCGGGAAGTGTAATATATAAATATATAATCATTAAATGATTCAAAACCACGCGAGTATAATTGCAATTGCAGTAATGTTAATTGTAAATATTTTTTTGTTAGTTTTTCAGAAAACAATTCAGGTATATCTGTAGAGGTTTTTAGAGTTGATGATGACGAATTGAAAAATTCAAACTATCGGTTACAATATTGAATTATTTTTTTAACTTCTTGATTTTTGTTTCTAACATGGTTTCTGAGAGTTTTTAGGGTTACTGATTAATAAGAAATAAAAATTTAAAAATTCGAAGTCTGATGCAATTTAAGACAGACTGGATATTGGAAATTCCTATGAGGATTCCGTACATGTGTTCTATGTAGAATTTCTTATAGGGTCCTATAAAAAAACTACACAGGATACATGTGTAGTCTTCTTAGCCTGCTTAAGGGCTGACCTAAAGTCACAGTATCCTCCTCTGTCTGCGACGTGGTTGATTAATACCTTATTGCCGAACTTTTTGCTACATAAGAAGCAGCTTCCACTTTTCTTACAATTTACTTACGGTCGACTTCTTTGTACCTAAAGCTCGTAGCCTATCTGTTCTCCTTCTCACAATCTCTACTTAAGTGTCCTTACTCAGTGTAAAATTGCCAAGATTAACCAATATTCATCCAACATTCAGCCAATATAGTCTAGTACTTACATTTGCCAATGATTTGTCTTGGCGAATCATTAGCTGAACCTTGGGATGTCCATACCATTGTCAATCATTGGCTCCCACTTTTGGTCCAATGATAAGCCAATGGTAAATTTTCCACTGGGTACTCAAAGCACCGTCTTCGACCGCCTTGATAACTTCTATAGCAAATACCTTCTTGTTAGAGCCGCCTAAGATTTTAATCAAAAGGTCTCCCTTTTTCGTAGTTCTAGCAGTCAATACTCTTGTTTAGCTGATGTCCGGATTGAGCTGCTCGAACTATACATGTCGTCTTAGTGTGCAGGATACATATCAAATGAGATAGAACAAGACAATACGATATTTTTGCCCTTTCCTATTCCACTTAAGACAAATCCAGCAAAAAAAGTTCAACTTTTTCCGATTATGCATAAACGGATTCTATGTGGTTGTTTCCACTGGAAACTCCATTCATTTGATACGTTGGTGTCGCAGCGTGGTAAAACGTCAGGAGCGTCTATTTTAAGTGTATCATTCATCAGTTAACATTAGTTGCTTTATGCATTATACGTTCTCAGTGAAAGTCCTTATCTTTTTTTATTCGTATTACAGTCCTGAATGTTTACGGTTTTCGGCGTAGCGGTCGCATCAAGTACAAACTCCATTGACACTGGGCTAAGACTCGAGCCGTTCAGTGTACAAAGTATAATATTTTCCAGATATTACATTATAATATTATTATATCAATATTGTATTATAATACAATCAAAGAAGAACGCAAGAAGTGTTTAAAGCTCAGATAGAAAAAAGGTGAGTGTCTTCAGAGGATCGAAGAAAAATGTCAACATAATTATTAAGGGCGGACTTAAGGCTCTTCAAGATCTTGTCAGTGAGGCAAAGACAGAGCACGCTCTAGCAGATAATTGAGAAAACAATCTTGATGACGCTATAGGCTATCCGAAGGTGAACCGAAAAGAGCGAAGACGGTAAAGAGAGAGTATCCATGAGAAGCGGCTTCGATGCGCAGTCATAGAGGCGCAAAAAACGAAGAAAAAGCTCTAGTAGTTCGAAAAGAATTGACGCCAAGAAGAAGAAGAAAAAACAAGAGGAGGCACCTCTTGTTAAAAAGATTGCGAAGGTGACAGTAGTACCGAATCCTAAGCAAACCAGTAAGAAGTAAGCGACAAGTGAATCTAGAATGGTGATCCGAATCGCAACAGAAACAACGTATGCTGACGTACTGAGCAAACTTCGGAGGGAAGTGAATCCGGACGTCAGCCACACGTAGGTCGTGGGTGCAAGACCTAAAAGACAGGGAGATCTCCTCATTAAAATCGAAGGAGTCTTCAATAAGGAGGCATTCACCGCTGAGGTCACCAAAAGGTTGGAAGCATGGGAAGGTGCAGACGGTGGATTGACAGGTCACACTGGAAATCAACGACTTGGATTGCCTTACTTAGGAAGAAGAGGTCTAATAGGCGTTGGCATAAGTGCTCCAGAAGCCAGGAAGCAGGAAGTTGACGGTCCTAGGACCCAACCGACGAGGTATGATGCTCGCGGTTGTAGTCACCGATCCAGAAGAGGCGGATAGGCTGGGGAAATTGGGACGCATAAGGATTGGCTTTATGTGTTGCCTAATAAAAAGAAGGATGATAGTCGTTCGGTGCCATCAGTATCTGGCGTACGGCCACATAGGAAGAGTTTGTAAGGCAGCGGACAGGTCGTCTGCGTGCTTCAAGTTGCGGTGAAGTCGATCATAAGTTTGCAAACTGCAGTAGAAGCCCAAGCTGCTTCTTATGTAGAGAAAAATATGGTGATAGAGTAAACATTAGCCATATCGCAGGCAGAGGTGGATGTGGAGTCTTCAGGATGATCCTTGAGGATTTCAAGAAGACTCTCGCACGAACAAAGAAGAATTACGCCAGAATGTTTGGTAACTGCAAGGGTCACGAAAGCGAAATCACAGGGACCTTCATCTACGAAGTTTAAAGCTTGACGGCAGTTCCGTAGTGTGAGAGTTAGTCTAGCCAAAGGGTGTGGTTTTTAGTGTGTCGACCAGAACAAGAACGATTATTCCCACATAACTTTGGAACACCGGGTTTCAAATATCTGCCTGGAATACTAAGGGTTATGCAGATTTTCCACTTCCTTCGAAAAAAATCATGTATATTCACATTCTGATGTGATTCTATACACGACTACCAATCCATCTAATAATCGCACTTAAAGTTGCTTAATCTTTTGTGATTTACAATCCACGATTTTTATCATTTAAGCCAGTTTTATATGAATTGAATCATATAATTAATCATTATTATAATGAAAAGAGTAATATTATACTCGTTAAAATTAGTAAACTATCAGAGATAATTTTAAACAGAAATAGATGGTACAAACTGATTTGAAAATGTAGTGTAACTAATTTCTAAAAATTAATTGCACTTTGTATTTGGGTAGATAATAATAATCTCGTAAGAGATAATTAAATTTATTGAATTTATTATGACTACAGTTTGGGATTTGAATAAAATACATGAAAAAATGAAACTCGAAATATATAATCATCAAAAGAGGACTGGCCTCCTTATGCATTTATAATATACAGATATTTTATAACTTAAAAGTCACGATTTCTTAATGAGTATATCGATGTCTGCTCTGTGAACATTAATTAACAGTAATAATATGTTCAACCCTTGACATTTGCGCTTTCAAGCGTATAAAGTCTCCGTTACGAAAATCTAAGTAAATAATTCAAGGTAATCATAGAACACTTTTGTCGTTCATCTATTTTCCTTATTTGTATAATTAAAATATTATAAATATTCAAAAAAAAAATTTAATGATAAATTAATTTTTATAACAAAATTAATTAAATTGTAACTTAAAATAATATGAGGCACTCCACGATAAAAGGGACCTTAAAAGGCAAAAAATTTTAGGTTATGTTTAATGATGTTTAAGCTTGATTAAACGTTCAATTCAAATTATGTAAAATCAAAATCAGTTACTATTAAATATTTTGGATCTAATAAAAAACATAAATAACGGATTCTATTAAGAGTTGATCCTTTTTGTGTATTTTCAATTAAAAAAGTACAAACATAACTTAAAATTTTTTGTCTCTAAAGTCCCTTTTCTCGTGTAGAGTAATGCGAATATCAGTTAAGTTAAGATTAGTTATATTAAGAAATATCAGTTAATCAAGAGATTATTATTTAAGATATTATATTATAATATTAATATTTCTATTATAATATAATTTTTTAAAAATATTAATCAAATTTTGATTACAAAAAAATTTTCTAATTGTTCAAAATTAGTTTTTTTGAAAATTTTTTTAATTTTAGAAAGTTGCTATATTATTCAAAAAACAGAACTTTATTGATTACACTAAAAAATTTCTTTAGAAAAAATTTGGTCACTTGATAAATTTAGACTTTGCTCGAGAGAAGACGATTATTGAGAATAAGTTATAAAGAATTTCTCAAACGACAATCGAGTGGGGATCATTGAAAGATAGAACTGGTCACTTTCATCCGCTTCTCGAAACAGTCGAGAACGGCAGAAAATAATTTTTTTTTAAAAATTAATTTTGTTTTTTTTAGATAAAAAAAAATTATAAGGTATTTTTAATTACCTATAAAATTTCAGGCGAAACTGAAGTTTCACACAATGATGGAAATTACTGTTTTCTTGGAAACTATTTTTTTCTCATTTTGAGAAAATGGTGACTTTCAATAAAAAGTATTAAACAATTTTTTTATTTTAATAATGATATTTATTTAATTAAATGTGCAAAAGTGGAATTTGTTAATAAAAAAAAAAATTAACAGTAGAATCAAGAAAGGATGTCGAGCCTATGGACGTCCTGAATGATTTCCGGTAATCTTTCTAATCAAAAAAATCGGTGAGTTTAAAAAAAGAATTATTCCAGTTTTATTATTATTAAAAAAATTCAAATTGTATTCAATAAATAATTTAAAATAAATGAACTAAAATGGAAATTAAATTATAAAAATAATTGAAATTTTAAAAAAATTTCTTTATTTAAAAAAAAAGCATTGACATCTCTAAGAGAAAATCACAACTTCCTGGCATCGACGTCTCTTGCAGGATCTATTACTTTATAATTAATAATAATTGTAATTCGTCTAAATAAAGTAAATAACAGTAAAATTTTCACTTGATCGTTATTAGAATAGAAAAAAATACTTTATGCTTCATTATTTCAATAAAAAAAAGAATATATTCAAATTTCTCGAAAAAATGAAACTTTGTTAATAAAAATAATAAATAATTAATTTACAATTTATTAATGTAAATTAATATTTATGAAATATGAATAAACCTTCTAGTATTATTTTCTATTCATTTTAAGAAGTTGAAATAAATTTTATTATCATTTTATTTCCTGTTGGTAGAAAGTTAAAAAAATTATTCTTTTGGTTAGCAAAAAAAAATTTTATTAAAAAAATTTACGGCTCATTTAATCGTAAGTTTTGTTGTTCATTATGAGGTCCGATTGTGATTTTGTAGTAAACAGTTCACGGTACAAGACCCAGATAATGGGAAAAGTTTTCCTTGTTCGTTACAATCATTCAATCAGTGATTAATTATTCTCATCCCCTTCCATTCATTAATTAATAAATAATTTACTTTTTAAAATATAAAAACACAAACAAAACACACAGTCGTTATTATTTACTATTATTATTTATTTCTTATTATTATTATTATTATTATTATTATTATATTCAAAGTTAATTAAATAACAATTATTTGTATATAAAATGATATCAATTTATAAACAATAAAAATAATTTTGTTGCATAAAATAACGATTAATTAAGTTAAATTGAACTTTGATAGATTTTTTTGAATTTAATTATAATACTGTATTTTGTTTACCTAGCAAATTGTATTATATAAGTATTTTACATACAATTATATATATATATATATATATATATATATATATATATGTATATATATGTATATGTACTCTCCTAAGTTATTAATTAATATTTCTGATTCTAATAAAATTTTTAATATAAAATAAATAAAATAAATAACAAATTTTTATATAAATCATGAAAAAAAATTTTTCTCTAACAATCGTTACAAATAATAAAAATTTATACAAATATAATAAAAAAAGTATTAAGTATAAAATTTCGATTTAATGAAAATTTAGAAGTAATAATAAATTAAACGATAATGAATGAATTTCTATACACATTGTAACAAAGTAGAAAGAAAAAAAAATGTTCTTTAAATGATAGTGTTTAGTGATATTAGGGTAATAAATGTTGCTTTAAAAAAAACAAAAAATAATCTCTATTTAACAGTTAAGAAATAACTTTTTCCCGGACTTGGTGGCGCTCAAGTATTACAAAACATTCCGATAATCGTTAAGTCATTTTTACATGATTTTTTTTCTCCTTTTTTTGTGCATGTACCATATTTGTCAAGAACACGTGAAGAGTATATTCGAATGATGAAACTGTACATTGTATCCGCAAGCGAGAATGACATGTGCCTTTAAATCATATTGTCTATAATTCAAGAGAGTTTCCTCGAAATTAGAAAAATTTATTTTCTAATTATAATTGTACTTTTTATTTCCATTTCATGAAAAATATATTTTAAAAATACTTTTTTTTATTCTTCTCAACTATTTGAAGATTTTTCTTAATTATAAATGATAATAACTTTTTATAAAAATATAGTTTAGGATAATTTTTTTAAAAATAATAATTATTATTATAACCTGGATATAAAATTAATCTAATACTCGGTGCCATTAATTATTAATTAAATTTAATCTAAATAGATCTCTAATTTAAATTAATTTATAAACAATTGAGATCGGGATAAGCTTGATGAGGGAAAAGAATTACTTTTATTATATGATGATACAGATGTATGTATATTTTTTATTGATAAAATAACATTTGTCTTGTGATTATTTTAGTGATTTAAACTCTTGTTGTTCTGGTCGACCCACTAAAAACCACACCCTTTGGCTAGATTAACTCTCACACTACGGAACTGCCGTCAAGCTTTAAACTTCGTAGATGAAGGTCCCTGTGATTTCGCTTTCGTGACCCTTGTAGTTACCGAACATTCTGGGGTAATTCTTCTTTGTTCGTGCGAGAGTCTTCTTGAAATCCTCAAGGATCATCCTGAAGACTCCACATCCACCTCTGCCTGCGATATGGCTAATGTTTACTTTATCACCATATTTTTCTCTACATAAGAAGCAGCTTGGGCTTCTACTGCAGTTTGCAAAATTATGATCGACTTCACCGCAACTTGAAGCACGCAGACGACCTGTCCGCTGCCTTACAAACTCTTCCTATGTGGCCGTACGCCAGATACTGGTGGCACCGAACGACTATCATCCTTCTTTTTATTAGGTTACACATAAAGCCAATCCTTATGCATCCCAATTTCTCCAGCCTGTCCGCCTCTTCTGGATCGGTGACTACAACCGCGAGCTTCATTTCTCGTCGGTTGGGTCCTAGGACCGTTACCTTCCTGCTTCCTGGCTTCTGGAGCACTTCCGCCAACGCCTGTTGGACCTCTTCTTCCTGGGTAAGGCAATACAGGTCGCGGATCACCAGTGTGATCTGTCAATCCACGGTCTGCACCTTCCCATGCTTCCAACCTTTTGGTGACCTCAGCGGTGAATGCCTCCTTATTGAAGTCTCCTCCGATTTTAATCAGGAGATATCCCTGTCTTTTAGGTCTTGCACCCACGACCTTCGTGTGGCTGACGTCCGGATTCACTTTTCTCCGAAGTTTGCTTAATACTCTCTAAATTCGAATCATTGAAATTTCACTGGTGAACCAGTTATAAGTATACCACTGGTTTCATTCAGTGAAAATTTCACTGAAAATCAGTGTATCTTCACTGATTGATAGTGAAATTTTCACTCAATGAAACCAGTGGTATACTTATAACTCAGTGAAGATCAGTGATTAACTCAGTGATTAACTCAGTCAATCAGTGAAGATACACTGATTTTCAGTGAAATTTTCACTGAATGAAACCAGTGGTATACTTATAACTGGTTCACCAGTGAAATTTCACTGATTCAAATTTAGAGAGTACGTCAGCATACGTTGTTTCTGTTGCGATTCGGATCACCATTCTAGATCTACTCGTCGCTTTCCTCTTACTGGTTTGCTTAGAATTCGGTACTATACTGTCACCTTTGCTATCTTTTTAACAAGAGGTGCTTCCACTTGTTTTTTCTTCTTCTCCTCGGCGTCAATCCTTACTGGTCTGCTAGAAATATTTCTTCGTTTCTGCCCTTCTATGACTGCTCGCCGAAGCCGTTTCTAATGGATACGCTCTTCTCGGTTCACCTCCACATTGCCTATAACACCACCAAGGTTGCTTTCTTCATTATCTGCTATAGGGTGTGCTTTGTCTTCGCCTCACTGACTGACAAGATTCTGAAGAGTCTTAAATCCGTCCTTAATAGTTATGTTGACATTCTTCTGAACTTCGCAAGAGTTTACCATCTTGTCGATCTCTTCGTCGATCCTCTGAAGACACTCAGCTTCCTCCTACCACAGCTTTAAACACTTCTCGCTGAGCGCTAACAATCAGAACCGCTTACGGATTTAGCCAATGCATTACTCTACAGGTACTTCTGTTTTTCATGGTCGCTCATAATCATTCTTATAGTCTAATTGATTTTGGTTCGCCCTGGAATGAAGCAGATCATCAAAAAGTGGTTGACTGTAACGGTGACTACTAAGATTGGGATAAGATGTGGTGTTCTCTCTCCTCATTATTTTTCAAACTGTTTATATCCGATCTTGGTGAGCAATTTAAATTCTTTAAATACCACTAACATGCGGACGATTTTAAGTTGTATCTGCCCTTCTCTATGTCGTCGTTAGATGATTTACTAAATTAGGTTCAAACGAACATTAACTATGTTGTTAAATAAGAAAATGATAATGGCCTTGCTCTTGACCCTGCTAAGACTCAAGCTATAGTATTTGGAGTATCCAGAATTCGCCCTGTAGGCTCTCTATCCACTTCCAGTACAAGGAATCGCTTTACGCGTTTAAAAAACAGTCAAAGATCTTTCTTTAATTATGGCTGTACTGTACACGACGACATAACCGATTACTTGAATAATATAAATTAGAACGAAGTTGTATTCGTTTTGTTTTTGAATTACCTAAGGCTGAGCATGTGACAAATTGCAAAAAATTTTTTTTTTTTACTATAGAATACTTCATATATTATTATTTAGTCAAAGGAATCTGAATAAATTAATTTAATTAAATTCAGAAAAAAAATCATTCACTAATAAAATTTTTATTTCTTTTATGATTACAGATTTCCTGAGTAGAAGAATGGCAAGTCAGAGCATATGTACTTTCCTATTGGTCACAATACTTCCCTTGTAAGTATATTTTTAATTAATTATTCAGTTTTAGATATAATGATGTTATTATCTTGTTCATTAATAATGTTCTAATTGTTAATTGACTGTCAAAAATAATTTATTGAGAAAAACTTTTTTTATTTTTCTTTTATTCATTTGATTTTATTAATCATATCATCATTCAATTCAGTTTATTATGTTTTTTTATTTATTATAATATCAATTATTTAAATAATTATTTAATTATTAAAATAATAATTAAAACAAATAGATTAATATTAAAATTATTAGCATATATTACAACAGATGTAAGAAATAAACATGAAATGCTAAAAAAAAGAAATAAAAATAATGCATGATATTATAATTATAGGAAAGTTTTTGTCGATTTTGATAAAATTTATTGCAAAATTCATTAAAAGGGGGCACCGACATTTAACATGACAATAAATTTTTTATCCCATAAACGAAGCTCACGCGATTATATCGTTTATTATTAATTAGTGTTTTTTAGAAAGTCATTGATGCGGACAATGGCAATAATAAATTATTCTTCATTTCTTTCCAAGATGCATTGCTCATCCAATGATAAAAGATCGAGAGGAGGAGAGATTATTGTGCGAAACTTGTGGCGATGATTGTGACAAATGTAAATTTGGCGTCACTTTTTCTTCACTGTGTGAAGTCTGGCAATGTCAACGGGTAAGTTATTGAAAAGAAATTTTTCATTTTCTTATTGTATTTCCAAAAAAAAAATTTAATTTTATTAATTTTTTTCCATAGATTATAGAGTAACTATTTAATTAATAATTTTTTTTTACTATTGTTAAGATTAGATATTGTATTATTTATAAATAAAAAATGGAAATTAAATGGTATAATTATTTTTTTAAAGATCCTATGGAAAAATAATTCTAATGAACGTTTTGTTTGTTGTTACCAAACAAAATACTGTTAAAATATATGTGTCACGTTTTGAAAAATGGAACCTAAGAAGCAAAAGAATTATAGATTATGTTTATAACAGTTTTACCTTGAATAAAGAAATTGATAGAATTCAGTTGTTAGAAACATTGACTACTTTTATTATAATGAGGCAAAACAAATTACATAATAGAAATAAGAAAATTTTATTAATTTAATTAAGTCTCGAACTTATTTAGAATTTAATAAACAAAAAAATAATATTTAGTCGAAATCTCTGACGCTGCCAAACCGTTTCCCTACATTTATTGAATTTAATTTCAATTTTTTTTTATTTAACATAGTCGGAGAAATCGCCTTATCAATTCCTTCTCGAATATTGTTTCCAATTTCATAACAAATTTTGTTAGCATTTTTATGACAAAAAAGTAAAATTTAAACTAATTTATTAAAACTGAGTCAAAAACGTGTACTTCAACCTGGATGTCAGTAATGTGGAGAACCGCCACTCAATTGCTCGTTCGTTATATGGTTTATAGGATTCTACTCGCCAGAGGGCGCATTCTCATTTGCGAAAGGGCGCATTTATTTAAATTCGCCTTTCACTAAGAACAGCTCATTCGCACTCGCTGATACGCTATTTACTATATTTGAAAATACAAATCTTATATTTGTCATATCCAGCTTCGGAGTATTAAATAATAAAATAATATAAAATATTTTCAAACAGCTGTAAATAAAAGGCTGTTGGTTTCAGTAGCTCCAGTAGGCTTAACAGCACCCTCAAGTTGTATTTCAGATTCTTCTCACTTCGATTCTGAGAATCTATATTGGTATTCTTAAATTGCGCTAGTGTTTGGTTGCATCCAAAAAACTTAAACAAAATAAAATAACAGAATCTTAAATAAGAAAACAATAAAGTACGTAAGGAAATACGACGTTTGTTTTCTCGGTTTCAGTCGCACATAGTATAAATTTGAAAGAAATCTAAAAGTTCGGTTTCACCTTACGCCATCCAGGATTAAAAAGATGTTGCTAGTAATTTCTACATCGTTACACTCCAAACTATCATAAACATAACCTATAATATTTTGCTTCTTAGCTACCTTTCTTCAGAACGCGTCCCCATATTTATACTTTACCTCTTAAGTTCTAAACGATATAAAAACAAATATCTAAATTTATTTTATATTTAAAAAAAAGATTATATCTAATTATAATTTTTTCTTAAGGGTCCTGGTGAGATATGTGGTGGCCGTGGCGATAAATATGGCGTCTGCGGAGATGGTCTCTCCTGTCATTGCAATAAGTGCGTTGGCTGCAGTATCGACTCGTTGGATTGTTACGTTAACAATTGTCTACCACGCACGGAAATTCAACTCTCACATCCAAATCGCTTCAATGAACTTATTCTTGGGAAGTAACCAGGATATTATTCTAAAAAACAACGCTAGGCAAATTCAAATTTCGTCTTATTTATTTCATATTTTATTTAATAAAAAAGAGATCTCATTAGTTAGACTGCTCGAAAAATTGTGATAATTGTGTCCCAAATCTCCCCCACCCTCTTGTGCAACATTTAAAGCAATTTCATCATTCATTTAGCGAACTTTAATTTCAAGTTTCATTTTAGTTCAATATTATGTATATTTTCTAAATATTATATACTTTCTGAGATATATCAAAGTTTTTACAATTTGTAAATTAAAATTTTTATTTTCAATTTTTAAAATCTACAATTTAACATATAAATACAATTTTGTGTTAAAATTTTCTTTTTTTGGAAAAAAAACAACAAAATTAATTTTTAGCATGTTATTGTTTACTGTTTATAAAAACAGTTGTAAAGATTAAATTATGATATGACTCAGAAACAAAATTGGTAGCTTATAAAAAGTTTTGGCTGTGGCTAAACGTTGATAAATCGCGGCTAATCCCGATCAAAAAACTCCATTTAAACTGATTTGCAAAAAAAATGTTGATAATTTAATTAACGAATCAGTTGAACTTTAGTTCAAACTCTAGAAGCTGATAACCTTATTATTAAAAATAATGTTATTGAAATTTATCAAAAAATAATTTAATGGAAATATTTAAACGAGTTATAAAAATAATTTCTGCTACCTTTTTAAATCTAGCGCCAAAAGTATAGTAACGCTATTTAATCTTCATGAGCGAGGGAAATTTAAATGTGTACGCTTCGATTTTTATATGAATGTTAATTATTTTAAATTATTCTCTTAGATTTTAAATACAATTTTAATTGCTTAATCATATATATATAATATATATAAAGAAGGCAGAAAAGAGAGAGAAAGAGAAAGATACCAACAATAAGTATCTTGGCGCGCACGACTATAAAAAAATTATTAAATTGATATATTAATTTTAATATTAAATCAAGGACTATTAAAACAATTAAATTAAGTGATACTTACTTAATAGGTTTATTATTAACCTCTTAACTGTGATGACGAAGATTTGACGGCCAAAATCTTCGTCATCAGCAGTTAAGGGGTTAAATAATAATTACTTACTTAATAATTAAATTAATATTAATACTTAATACTTAGTTAATAATTTAAATATTTATATTATCGATTATAATATATTATATAAATATTGACATTAAAATATCAAATTTAAAGAGCAATAGAATAAAAATTTGTGAGATACACTTAATTTAATTAATTAAATACAATTTAATTTTTGAAACAAAAAACAATATTCAACATTGTGGTGTGCTGAGAAATTCAGTATTGCGTGCCTGAAATTATCAGCTCGCTAAATACTCGTATTTATTTATGTACTAGTCAGCCAGTGTGCATTTAGAAGAGTTTTAAATGTCTTAATAAGAAGGAGAGGGTCAGATATTTTTGGATAATTTATGTTAAGCATTTATTGTATTTAATTGTCAAAATAAAAAAAAAGTGTTAAAATTTTGTTTTCTTTACTGTATTTTCTAAGTTTTTTGTTACGAATGAATTTCGAAACTTTTTAAACTTTTCAATTTCAAATAAAATATCCTTAAATTATGAACGTTGTGAAAATTTTATTAATTTCACAATTCAAAATTTTTATTTTATTTTTAAAATTTTATTAAATAAATTTTATTTATTCGGTTTTTATAAATTTTGTTAAATATTTGGAGGTTGCAGCGAATGTTCCAAAATTGATTTAGTTTAATTAATTTTAAATTCCTTTATTAATTTCATAAATTTATTTCATTTATGTAAACTTCGTTTCCTGATTCTCAATTCCTGTTCAACGAATCATCGTGGGAAATTATAATTTTATTTCAAGGATGATTGGGACGCCTCTTATCTATTGGGAAATAATAATTGTCTAACTATTATTCAAGAAATTATTTCAAATTTACCGCCTATTTTGATGTGTAATCCATTGACAAATCAGAAGATCGAAACCTATTCCACATTCCTAAAATCCATGGCCCTAGAATATTTGTTTTTTATTATGTTTTATTACGAGATTGTTGCCTCCTGCTTTTCTACGTTAATATATTTTGGAATTTTATGAAAATTATATAAACCTTGGTAGAATTCAACTAGCCTTCTGTCCTACTATACGCGAAGCTTCTAATCCCTTAGGCCCATTTGAATCGTCATATGAATCTGGCAAGACCATTTTATTTTTTATTTTTATTTTATACCACGCGTTGTATCTGGACCCCATTATCTTACCCCATCTATCCTTTTCATCCTTCTCTACCCACCCTACGCTCATTTCCATCCATCCACGCCCCCTTTTCATTCCCTCTCTTAACGCTTCCTGTCTCTCTCTTTCCCATCCTGGACATTCTTTCTCACTTCTCCTCTCTCCCTCTCTAACCATCCTCCAACACAATTGCGTCCATTCATTTCCTCTTTCTAGTTTCATTTTTTCTTCCAACCCCCAAGCTCTCCTCCTTTGCCGCACTACTATTTTTTCTCTTCCTAATTCTTCTCTTAACATGTATCCTGGGCAGTTTGCACTCATCCCCATCACCCATCTGAGAAACCTCTCATGCATCCTTTCCACATTCTTCCATTCTTTCCATCCCCACACTTCTACACCATAACTCACAATCGACCACACTCTTTTCTTCCAATCATCCTTAAACCTTCTCTTCCCTATTCCCCATACTTGTCCTATACACTTGCATGCTCATTCTATCCTTCTTCTCACATTCAATTCATATCTTCCATTATAACTAAACCAAAACCCTAAATAACAAAATTCATCCTTTTCCTCTGCCATTCTTCCATTTATCTTCCACACTTCTTTTTCTCCCCCTCTTCTATTCCTGAATCTCATGACCTTCGTTTTTTCCACATTCACCCAATAGACCTTTATTAGACGCATACTTTTCAAACTCACTCAACATTAACTTCATTCCTGCCTCATTCTCAGCCATCAATACTACGTCATCTGCATACGCTAACAAATACACTCTTCCTCTGCCCAGGATCATACCACCTTTCCCTCTCTTTTGCAGTCTCTCCTCCATGTCCGCTATTAACAAGCTGAAGAGAATTGGACTCAACGGGTATCCCTGCAAGAGCCCTCTTCCCAACCCAAATTTCTCTCCCAACCTCCCACCTACTCTAACCCTCGCCCTTTTTTATTCTCTCTACCAATCTGTCATTTATCCCTCTCTCTTTCAGCGCTTTCCACATTATTCTTCTATTTACCGATGGAAACGCTCCTTTAAAATCAACGAATGTAGCAACCATCTTTCCTCCTTTTTCCTTTAATTTCCTATTCACCACATAATTTACCGTGTATATATGCTCCATAGTTCCCATTCCTCTTCTAAAACCTGCCTGATTGTGCAGTATTCCTCCCATTCTCTCCACATTCCTTTCCAACCTTCCTCTTAATATTTCAGCATACACTTTGTATGCAACTGGCATCAACGTTATTCCTCTATAATCATCAATTTTCTTTCCCTCCCCTTTTTTCACCAATGGCACTATAATTCCCGTTTTCCATTCTTCAGGCCATCCTTCTCCTTTCCATACTCTGTTCATTATACTCCATAACTGCTCTTCCACTACTTCTCCTCCATATTTCAAACTCTCTGCTTCGATCTCATCATACCCTGCTGCCTTATTCCTTTTTAATTTTCCTATAGCCCCTACTACCTCTTCTCTACTTATTTCCTCTTCCCCATCATTTTCTATTATCTTTCTGCCTTCCCCTCTCACCCTCTTTTCCACCCCTCCGCTCATATCCTTGAAGAATTTCGTCCATTCTGTCATTTTTATTTCTTTATTTATTACTTTCCTTCTAATTCGCTCTCTATTGATTACTTCCCAGTCCACGGTGGGCTTGAACCAACTTTGAATAAAGGATCATAGCACACCTTTTTTTATTACAAATTTTGGTTATTTAGGTCATAAATAGCGTGTAAAAAAATTATAGCCCATAACTTGTCGAGCCGTTTTTGAGAAAACTCATTTTGAAAGAAAATCTAGTTTTCTTTGGAAAATTTAATACATTTACATTGAATTCCCAATTTAAGTATTTCAATTATGACATTTATACTTTTTCCAAATTATAATGAAAATAAAACGATATTTCAGAAATTATAATTTAATTTTTTAAGTAATACATTATTTGTTTAAATAAATTGACTGTATTTTGTAAAAAAATAAAAAAAATTTATAGTATAAGAGAAAAACCCTTTAATGGACGAAACTGTACCAGATATATCATAAACTTTTATAAAATGTAGAATTTAACAACTCAATTGTACAGAATTTTAGACACTAATACTTCAGATTTTTAAATCGCAGGCTTAAATATGTTGAGCGTTATATTCTTGTACTGCTCTAAGTAATTTTGATGGATATTCCGGATGCTTGTCAAAAACTTTATATTTGGCCCAAGTTGTCTTGAAGTCTGAATGTAAGGATTCTACAGCTTGCTCACTATAAAATCCCAATCCCTCGCCTGATTTCTCACAAAACTGAGAAACATGAAATATCACGGCATGGACTTTCGGCGTAACGGAAATGTTCAAATCATAATAACTTTTTTTAAAGTTAGAAATAAATTTTTTTTAATTAACATCAAGAGTCGAAGAAAAACACGATTGCACAACGGTTTTAAAATCATCAAAACATTTCACGTATTTCAAGCAATTGATACTACATATCTGTCGCAATAGATCTGTCCTATTTAATAGGATATTGCATGATCCTTTATTCAAAGTTGGTTCAAGCCCACCGTGAGTCTCTTCCATCTTCAATTGAGCCGCTGGATTCTAGAAGGGCACGTAAATTTTTTCTGCCGAAAAACGAAGTCCCCTGGACACTTAAAATTCATTTTTCGAATTTTAATATTTTTCGAGCATATTCTTATACAGAATTCGATTACGCATCTTTCATTCTTAATAAGAAATTTTCCATCTTTTTCCGTTTTCAAAATATAAGGGAAAAACTGTTTTTTTAAAAAAGAAAATTTTCATTGTTTTTTTGACTTCAACTCGCGACGGCTCAGACAATTTTACGAATTTCTTAATGAAACAAAAACGAAAATACGTGTTATTATATTCAACGAGTGACTAAAAAAGAAAAATGTTGTTTTGATTAAAAATAAATAAGTTATTAATTTTTTAATGAGACATTGCAAAATTCATGAACTGCAATTTTCACCCCGTGAGGAATTTTCGTAAATTTTCACTAGCAACATACTTCCAGTGAGAAAGTTGTTCATTAAGGGCCAAAGAAGTTTTCTGGAAAGTGAATTTTAAGTTTTAAGTGTCCAGGGGACTTCGTTTTTCGGCAGAAAAAATTTACGTGCCCTTCTAGAATCCAGCGGCTCAATTGTTAAAGTAAATATCTTGCAATTCAATTAATGTCTGAAGCTTATAAAAAATATGCTGCAATTATATTTCAAATTTAAGAAAATTGTAATTAAAAATATCCTGAAATTCAATTATTTCAAAAAATTTTTTCACGAATTCTTCCGCAAAATTTAATTATGTAATTCTTCTTTTTTATCAAATTCCACTGAAGAGGAAATCATTTATAGACTTTAGAAAAAGAATAAAAATTGCTTAATCAAATAATAAAATTTTCTTAATAATTAGTAAAAAAATTCTTACTAATTTGAATTAATGAATTTTCATTAAAACTGGGAGTTTTAATCTTTTTTTTTTGCTTAGTGAAATTGCTTACAGATACCTTGGTTTTCGCACTACAAATATGTTGTGCTACGTGGAAAATCTATTTTATCAGCTAGAAATAAATTAAACTAACCTGCATCAGTTAAATCTGTATTATCGACTTTTCATAATTAATATTTAACTGACAAATAGTAAAAATTGTTTTATCGACTCCCAACAAAGTAGATTTAAAACTATTTTTCACTGAAAATGTAATTGATATTTTCTAATCAATATTAAATTTCAATTTTTGATAGTTTTAAAAAAATTGCAATGTCTAATTTTTAAGTTTTCAGTAAAATAAAAACGGATTTTAATTATATTGAAATGAAGTTAAAATTTTTTATTGTGATTTTTCGATGAAATTTATACATATATATATAGTTTAATGAACAGTATAAATTTATACAGAGTAGAGAAAAATATTTAATAATGAAATAAATTTTTTCATTTTTTATTAAAAAATAAATTTTTTTAAGTACTCTGAAAAGGATGTTAATAATACACCAAAAAAAAGGAGGATTACGTACTTTATTGCGAATTTTTTTATAATAATAATAGAAAAGTATATGTACAAAGTCGAATACTTAAGATTTCAGTCAGAAAAAGCTCAATCACTATCAATGTATTTTTTTAAATTAATCAATATTTTTTACAAATTAAATGTGTACTTTTTTTTATACAATCAAAAATTAATTTCATAAAATAATAAATTATACATTATAAAAAATAAATATATTTTACAAAAGCATGATAAAAAATGAAAAATATAATTAAAAATACAATACAATTTTGAATAAAATAAAAATATTTAAGAGTAAAATATTTTGAATTCAGAAATATTTTTAAAAAATTTTTACAAGATTGAGATAATAGTGACTTTTTCATAAATCTAGTAATACAGAAATATCTTAACATACACTGCGTTAGGTAATTTATAATTACAATATAGACTATTATAATGATAATTAATAATATTATTAACACGAATAATAATAATTATAAATCAACAAATATTTATTTCCTTCAAGACTATCACAAGAATAATTATTTATATATATATATTTTTTTTTTAATAATAATAGCTATAATTGAAACATACGATTTTTTTTATACATGTTGGTGGTTCGATGTCATTAAAAAATTTTCATCCTCGATTAAAAATGCACGAGGAATAATTAAAAAAAAAATGATTCTAAAAACTAAAAACGTTCAAGGCACAATTTTCGTGTTTTTAATTTAAAAACTTGTTAACACTACAATATTTCATTCGGAAAAAAAAATTAAAGTTGTTTTTAATCTAAAAAGCAGTTTTTTTTTAGACAAAATACATAAGTTTTGGCTTTATTTTTTTTAACAAGTATAGAATGGATGTTTTTTTTTGTGAAATATACATAACAAGTGTAGTAACGATTACTCGTATAATTAGAGGAGATGTATACAAGTCTTAACACGTGAATAAAAATTTATTTGAGCCCTAAATAATTTTTTCTATACAAATAAATAATATTTATAAAATATATTATTTTTTTCAAGAAATATTACTACTTTCTAGGGCAAAGTGAAATCCCTTTTTAACGTTATATAAAAATCTTTAATTGATTTTGTGCGTCTAAAAATATTTCCCCAAAAAAAACAAAAACAAAAAATACGTCTCAACCTACATACATCTCACATATACATATATATATATAAACAAAGAATTTGTTTTCTTTTTTATAAATTTAACAGTTAGTAAAATATGTATTTATGGGGAAAATTATTAATTTAATAATTAATAAATTTATAATATATATTATATAGATAAACTATATTCATAACAGATAAAACAGATATTAAAATTTTTTTTCTATATTTATATATAGTAAAAAACATATTTTTTTTACAAATATTTAAAACTTTTTTTCTTAGTATCAAAGTAGTATGAAAGAATTTATTGTTCTATTGAAAATGATAATATTTTGAGATTTTATGATGAAAATTATTATTAATATAATAATATGATAAAATGAATAATGACTTGAAATTATAAAATATGAGACGTGTGTGTATGTGTGTCAATGAAGAGATTGAGATTCACGTGGTCCCTCGAAGTTAAATTTTTTAAAGAAGCCATCATCTTCTGTTTACCAAGTGCATTTTAATACACGTGGTAAACAGAAGATGATGGCTTCCCCAACGCACTCTCGAACTGTGTCAATGTCATCAGCTGCAATGAAGATCTACGTCCTATTCTTCAGTTTGGCTCTGAAATTCAAAAAAATGTTTTTTTAAATTTTTTCTTTTATATAATGTTTAGTTATCTATATGTAATTAGTTTGCTTAATTACATCAAAAAAATTTTTTTTATTATTCACGATAATTTTTATTGTAGTTAATTAATTTTTTTTTATTTTGGGTCTCAATGATCTCATGCCTCAATAGATATAAGTCTCAATAGTCTCAAGACTCAATAGTTACATGTGTCTCACGTCTCAATAGATTTAAGTCTCAATATTTTCAAGTCTCATAAATATCACGTCTCAATAGTCTTAAGTCTCAATATTCTCAATTCTCACGTCTCAATAGTTTCAAGTCTCAACGGTCTCACGTCTTAATAGTATTAAGACTCAGTAGTCTCAAGTTTCAATAGTTTTAAATCTCAATAGTCTCAAGTCTCAATAGTCTCATGGGTCTCTGCTCTCAATAGTCTTAAACCTCAACGGTCTCACGTCTCAATAGTCTCATGGGTCACAGGTCTCAACAGTTTCAAACTATAACGGTTTCGGCGCTAAGCCGCGAAAACCTAAAAATTGGTTTAAAAAAATGGCTAAATTTTATTTAACAATAAAGTTGTATTAAAAAAATTAGATAATTTTTTTTTTTTTTGAATGATTGTTTTTCCTGTGAATATCTATTATATCTTCAATTAGATTGTAAATGGAAACGCGTATATTTTATAATAAAAGTTATAAAACCAGTTGTGTAAAAAAAAAGAAAAATAAAAAAAACATCAATTAAATTAATTGAAAATTGTGATTTTCAAGTTTCAAATGACTTTTATAGGGTGACGCATTAAATGCTTCCGCGATTATCTAATAATGTTTTTAATTGAGTAATTAACCATGTGAATTAAGTGACAAATTATTATTTGAAGGACTTTTATTGTAAAAATTTTTCTTTAAATTTTCTAACATCTGCTGATATTTTGTTTTAAAATTTAAAAAATAATTACAAAAATGAGGGATTTTATGTGACAGACAAAATTTTATTGATATTGACGGATTTTCTTTAATCTTATGGTATCCAAGTGTTTTTGAGATCGTTCAATACAAATTTGAAGTTAGATTTTCAGAGGCCAAAATGGCTGATCCAATATGGCGGTTGAATTTTTTAAAATTATTCGCATCTTATTAAAATTTAGTAATCTATAGAGATTTTTGAGGTTGCTGATTACGAATCTAACGCCAGATTTTTGAAATTTGAAATCCAACAATTATTTAGAAACTCTTTCACCATTTTTGATCCGCCATTTTCGATTTTGAAAATCTGACTTGAAATTCGTAATCAGCGACATCTAAAACCCCTTGCATACTAAGTTTTATAAAAATTCAAATGATTTTTAAAAATTCGACCACCATATTGGATCCGCCATTTTGAATTTAGCAAATCTTATTTCAAATTCGTAATCAGCGACCACAAAAAACCCTAGATATGAGTTTTATAAAAAATTTTACAATTTTTAAAAAATTTTGACCGCCATTTTGGATTTGCCATTTTGAATTGTGAAAATCCGACTTCAAATTCGTAATCAGCGACTCCAAAAATCCTTGGATAACAAGTTTTATAAAAATTTAATATTTTAAATATTCGACCGCCTTATTGGATTTGCCATTTTAGTTTTTTAAAATCAGTGACCCCAAAACCTCTAGATACCAACATTAAAGTAAATTCGTCAATATTTATGAAATTTTATCAGTTACATGAAATCCGCTGTTTTTTTTTTTTTTTTGAAGTTAGAATATAATCTTGATGTGATGAAGGAAAACGGACTTCAGATTCGTGTTCATCTCAAAAAAATTAGACCAGAAGTTTTCTTTTTAATCGATAAATGAGTTTATTAATAAATCCATTCATTAGTAGATTGATTAGTGAAATGATTGATTGATTGATTGGTCAATTTAATCTACCACTAAAATTAATGGATCCATTGTTGGATTCATTGATATAAATTTATAAAATATTGAATTGATTGGTGAATTTATTAGTTGATTGATTGGTGCATAACACAATGGATTAATAAATTGATTGATTGATTAGCGGATAGGTATATTAATGTCAAAATTCATCAATCATTTGGTGAATTGATTGGTGGACTCATTTAAGGATTGACTGGTAATTGGATTGATGAATGCTAAGAGATTGATTGATTAATTGGTAAATAGTAAACAAACTGGTCAATTGATTTACGGATTGATAGATGAATTACTAAAGATTGAATTTATTGGTGCATTTATTAGTTGATTGACAATACATAATGGATTAATTAATAAATTGATTGATTAGCGGATGGATAGATGAACTTATTAAAAGATTGGTAGAAAATATATTGATAAATTTTAAAAGATCGGTTGATTGGTGGATTAATAGATGGATAACATATGGATTGGTGATTTGATAAATGGATTGATTGATAAACAGAGTACTAATGATTGAATTATAATTGATCGATTTATTAATAGTTGATTGAAATAGTTAGTTGATTGAATAGTTGATTGGTGTATTACATAATAATTTAATAGGTAAATTAATTTAATAGCGGATGAAAAGATGGACTTTGGTTGGTTGATTGATTGATAAATAACAGACGGATTGTTGAATTGGTTAATGAATTGATTGATAGATTACTAAAGATTGAATTGATTGGTGGATTTATTAATTGATTGATTAATGGATTGTAAATAACAAACGGATTGGTGAATTGATTAATATGGATTGATTGATAGATCATTATTTGAATGATTTCGCATTGAATAATTATTTATGGATTGGTAGATTGATTGGTGGATTTATTGATAATTTGATTGATCTTTGATTGATCGGAATATTGATCCTATTGTCAAAATTGTTCCAATTGTTTTTTTCTTTATCTCATTGCTTGTGCAATTTTATTTTCTTTATTTCGATTTTGTTAACATCATTTTTTCCTTTCTTTAATCACTAAATTGTATTTTCAAAATTTTTCTTTTTTAAATTTCTATGACACAACATTTCAATAACAGTAAAACAAAATTATTTTTAAAATACTGACCTTTTTTTTTGAATATTTATGAAAATGGAAGTTTCATCTTTTATCTCAATCTGATGAAATAGCCTCTTGAAAAATTGATGGATAATTATTCCACAATGAGACGAAACTTATTTTATTATTACTATTATTATTTGACGAGTCCTTTTTAATCTCTCTCAGCTTTTTTCTTCTCTCGAGCATTTTTTGGGCGAAATATCATTGTCCCTTTTGCTTTAATAATTTCCTCGTGCGGAAACCACGAAAACCAGCTTGAATTCTCGTTGCCGCTTGTTGCTCCTGTTGATGTCGTTTGCGTACTAAAAATCCACGTATTCCAGCTTGAATTTTTGTTGCCGATTTTTCTTCTAATGAATTTTTTAAATCGTCACAACACTTTAATGATGGTGGACTGTAGGAATTACTCATTACATCATCATAATCACTGTCATTATTGATCTTATTTGATTCTTTCAATTGTTTTCGTACACGATAACCACGAAATCCAGCTTGAATTTTTGTCGCTGCTTTATTTGCCTTCATTTCTTCGTCGTTGGCTTTAGTCATTTGGAAGAAAACAATTTTTTTTTTGTTTTGTTATCACACTTGAGAAATAATTTTCAATTATTTCCCAGTTTTATGTTTTTTATAATAAATTCTTCTCCTTTGAAAATAAATTTTCAATTTTGTCGCACAAAATTTGAATCAATTTTTATGATTTGTTTTTAAATTTCAACGGTTTCCAATTATTATTATTGTAATTCGATATTTTTCGATAACAATTTTTTTTTCTCTAATAATTATTTTCCAAAAAATGAAACTTAGATGTTTTTTGAAAATAACAATTTATTTTCTTGTTAAAAGTTTTCAAAGGGATAATTTTTCAAAAAAAAAAAATTTCCCAACTTTAACAATTGGTCCAGCAGCATCCAATTGCAAAATAAAAATTTCTTTTTTTTTCAAAAAAAAAAGAAAAATCCTAGCACTTGTAAAAAATTTTCTTTTTGAACAATTTTTTTTCCACGGTTTTTTTTTGTCTTAAATTTTTTTTGATTATTTTAAGAGAAACTAATGAACACTGAGATTTCTTTTTTTTTTCTAACAAAGTGCCGCACAACTCGAGATGTCGAGTGAGACTAGAAGCAACAGGCGCTCGCGTTTTACTGTTTATAGAAGATGTGGCTAATGTATCAGTGAACGCATGCGCGACATGATTTATCCCGAATAATTTTTTTTTTTTTTAAATTAATTTTAATTTTTCAATTTAAAATTAAAAATTCTAATTCGATTACTATTATTATTATTATTTCTTTTGAAAACTATTATTTTAATAAATAAAAAAAATTAAGAATGAAAATGAAAATTTATTTTCATTAATCGATATACATATGCAGAAATTGTAAATCCAAGGGTGAATCTTCTTCATGGAATTTTGTACTATATGTGCAATAAATTTGTTGAAGATTAATTTTGTGAGACAAATTCTATGCCAGAATTGATGTAGGTTATGAGATGTAATTTTTTATTGGCTTATGTACAATTTACACATAAATTATATATGTATATATGCAAGAGGAAAAATATTTTTGTTATACTCAAAACAAAATTGTATTTTAGTAAAATTGTTTTCAATGAAAAATAAAAAAAAATTTATTAAATATTTTATTTTTATATTATATATATTTTAAATAATTTTTCCTTAATATGAAAACAGAAAAAAAATTTCGTTGGAAAATTTTTCTTTGATACAAAGAAAATTTATTTCTTTTAAACGAATTATCTTTAATTAAAAAAAAATTCTCTTCTTTCAAAGAAATTTTTTATTTTAATTCAAAATAAATGTTTCTTTGATCCTATAAATAAAATAAAATAAAAATAAATTTAGAGAAATATTTGGTACTCACCACCGAAAAAATTTAAGAAAAAAATAATTCAAGAGGATTTCTCTTATTTTAATGCATATTTTCCTCTAGAATATCATGCAAAAGAATTTCTCTTATTTTAAGAGGAATTATTTTCTATTTTAGAATATTTCTCTTAAATTAAGAGGAAAATACTCTCCGATTAAAAGTAATATTCTTGATTCAAGAGGATTTTCGCAAGAGGAATTTTCCTCTATTTTCAAGAATATTTTTTATCGTTGACCTATATGATTTTTAATTATTATTTTTTTATTATTCATAAATAAATTAATTATATTTGAATAGTATTTTTTTTCTAAAGTATTTTTTTCAATTTCCTCTTTTAGTAAAATAATAGAGATAAATTATTCATTTTCGTAAAATATAATTAAACTTTTAAAGCAACAAAGATAGTAAAAGAATTTTAAGAAAATAATTTTCTAATTTTTCTTTTTTTAATAAAATAAAATTTTTATTTTTAGTCGAATTTATTAATTAAATTAATTTTTTATTATTATTTTTTTAAAACAAATATTTTTAATTTCTTACATTTTCCATTATTTCTTTTTCTTTAATTTTTCTCTAATTTCTTTGTCAAAATAGTTATTTGTTTTTTTAAAAATATTCTTCATTTATTTACTAGAAATATTTTTTATTTTTAACAAAATGTTATTTTTTTTTAACGAAAATATATTTTCTAACAAAATTATGTAACATTTAATCAAACATTTAATCAAAGAAAAACTATCATAAACATAACCTATAAATTTTTGTTTCTTAGATCCATTGCTTTAGTTTTTCATGATTTATTTTTTTAATTTTTTTCTTATCTCGTTTACATGTAAACAAATAAATTAATTAATCAACTATTTTATTTTTATTTTCATCGACATTGACTTTCACTTTGATTTTCACTTTGATTTTCACTTTTAGTGAAATAGATTTTTAATTGAATTTCATTAAAAGTGAAAATGAAAGTGAAAATCATTATGAAAGTCAATGTTCATGTGGAAGTCAAAATGACATAATTGTATAATTTTTTAAATCAAATTAAAAAAAAAATTATTACATAGAACCAAAAAAATTGTTTCAATTAAAAATTATATTTTAAAGATTGTAAAAGAGTTGTAAAATTTTTTTAAATTACAATTTTTTTTATACTTCATTTTTATTTCATTTTTCATTCATAAATATAAAATATTTTTTTTCAATCTTATCTTTTTCATTGAATTGAAAAAAAAATTGTTAAAATATTCTTTTTCTTTAAATTAAAATATTTTTTTCTTAAATTCAATTTTTTTTTTCGAAGACAATAAAATAAATTAATCAACATTGCATATTTTTTTATTAAAAGAAACTAAAAAAGAAATTAATTTTTTTTTAAATAATTATTATACAGCGATAAAATAAGAAAATAATAAAATTTAACGATGTGGAGTCACTTGGAAATAATGTTAAACGCGCGATTCGCATTTACGCTACGTCATAATGCGACCGATGCATCTCGTCCACTCACAAATTACGTCACTTACAGGTGTGCTTTCCTCCTCGTATGTTTTATCTCATTTATAAACGCACGTGTTGCCTACATTCATTATTATTTTATTATTATTATTATTATTATTATTATTATTATTATTCTCGTTTAAACTGACATAAGATGAGCGTTCGATAAAATTTTATAACATATACACACACACACATACAAATGTCCATATTTATTAACGGAGAAGAATAAAAAAGAAGTTAAATTAAAAATTGACCTTGGAGAACATTGATATTTTATCAAAGTGCTATATATGACGTCACATCCGCATTGTCCACAACGTCACGTGTGATTACGTTCATTATAGATATATCGACACGTCAAAGGGAGAGTGACGATGAGGAGATTTTTTTTTCGTCCACATCGTTAAACACACGTATATTATATATATGATGAAAATAGAATAAAGAATATATAAAGGTCATTGATTGTTCCCTGACCCTGAATTCCTTAACACGATAAATTGACTGTAATTAGAGTTGATTATAAGTGCGATGTGAATAAAAAAAAAAAGTGCACGAAGATTATTTATTATTAATTATTTAATTATTTTTGTTTTTATAGAAATTTGATACCTATTATTACATTTAGTTAAATCTTTTTTAAACCCTTTTAGGATTTTGAATTTATTGTTATATTTTAAAATTTAAATTTTCCGCCAAAAATTGTATTCACGATGAGTGTAAAACCTATAGCGGACGATTCATGAAGCTTCAAAAGAAGTCTGTTTATTTTTAATGGACGTAAATCACATTGTAAAAATATTACTTATAATGTAGTAATATGTTATTTAATTAGTGTCATTCAGTGAATTTATGTGGAATATTTAGTGTTATTGGGAAATTTGAATATAAAAGTATTTTCAGTTAAAAATATTTAATTTTGTTAGTCATATTCCAGTTTAGTTCTTACAAAGAGTTGATATTAATAACACAATTCCCAGATAGCGCGTGAGCTTGCAGCAACCTTGCGGCAAGCTTTCCGCACAATATTGCCAACCTTGCACGGCAAACTTTCGGAAGCTTCAAATGTCCCACCTGACCCAAGCTTGCATGGTAAGCATACCGAAAGATTGCAGTGTAAGGTTGCTGAAAGATTGCACAATAAGATTATCGCAAGATTGCTCAGTAACCTTGCACGGTAAGCTTGTAGTAAGGTTGGTGCAAGGTTGCCAAATAACCTTGGTTTGAACCTAAAAAAATTTTTTTTTTTAACGTTTCGTCTAATTCATATTATAAAATTATGTAAAGTAAACGAAACATTAAAACAAAGAGTTTTTTTACGTTCAAACCAAGGTTATTTGGCAACCCTGCACCAACCTTGCTACAAGCTTACCGAGCAATCTTGCGATAATCTTATTGTGCAATCTTGCAGCAACCTTATACTGCAATCTTTCGGTAAGCTTACCATGCAAGCTTGGGTCAGGTGGGGCATTTGAAACTTGCGGCAAGTTTGCCGTGCAAGGTTGGCAATATTGCGCGGCAAGCTTACGTGCTATCTGGGAAACTACTTTGTAATCAATTATTTTCGTTCGCTATTTTAATTAATAAACCTCATTTTATTATTTTGTAAATTCCATTTTTATTTTACGATCCTTGGAAATTAAAAATGTAGAAAAAATCTATGTATATTAATTTTTAGGTTATGTGTACGTCTCATTGCAAATAGGGTACCTTCAATTTTTTTTATTATTATATTGCTTATAATTATTATTTTTTCAGTTACTATATTTATGGAATTAATATTAAAAACTAAATTTTAGGACTAAATTAAAAACCTATTAAATTCACGTTTGTAAACATTCAACGGAGACTTTCTTCAGATCACGTGACCCGAATACATGGTCGCAACTGCAGCGCCTCTATAGGTCATGCTCATCGCGAATACGCCATATTGGATCTAAACAATCATAAACATAACCTATAATTTTTTTTTGCTTCTTAGATCTGCTTCTATATAAATAGAATATAAATAAAACAATATAAATATAAATAATGGAATAATAAAATTATCAACTTTCAGAAACTTTTCTCTAATCTTTCGAAACTTTTTTTTAAATGCTTCCCAGTATTACATTTGTATTTTTTATTCTTATTTTGAATTTCACTTTTACATATCTGATGATGTCAAATGCGCTATTAAAACAAACACAAATAAATTGTTACAATGTCTCTGGTGTAACTAAATAAGTAATAAAAATGAGGAATTTATTTGAAATACAAATAAAAGCCATTTTACTATCTGGTTTATGGGCGCAATTACGCCAATGTGTATTTGTGCAAGCAATTCCAATTGTGATCCGTCATGAATGGAAACGACACTGGTCTAATTTTTCAGGCAACGATCGAACGCGATTCTTTATTCTCAATACCTATATTTTTTTTCTTTATGTATGTGACAGCTTCTCAGAATTTCAGTTAAGAAAATGCAAACTCACTTTTTCTATATATATATATACAAACATCAAGTCGTTTTAATCATTTTATTTACTTTTTTCTTCAAGTAGTTAAGTATATTGTCCATTTCAATTTTAATCAATTAAAAAAAATAAGTAAATCCATTTACACTTTCACCGAGGGGAAAATAAGTTGTTAATTGAGGTGTACACTTGTGTTGAATTATCTTGAATTACGTGAATTAACCGTCCAAATATTGATGTGAAAATTTCAATCAGAAAAGAAATAAAAGAAAGAGAATATCCTACACGAAATAGTACGAAGAACAGTTTTTCCTTCTCAGTATTCTCTGGCGGAAAAATTTTGGTTTTCCGCTCT